CGTGGGCCCCATCCCGATGCCATGCCATGCCATGCTATGCTATGCTATGTTCATCCACCACCACCAGCGCAATAGACAGGAGCACTGCAGACAAGCCCAGCCCGACGACCTCGACGGCTTGTCTTCCATCCGCGCTCGCTCCTCAGTCTGCCAGCCGTTGGCGTCGCTACTGGGATACAAACGGGTACGGCCCAGCTGGAAATAAAGCTCTCTGTGTTGGGCTGGATTCTGCCGGGACGATCGGCGCTTTCCCGCGCGCATTCTGGCTTCAACGCATTTGGCGGAGCAATAGTGTAGAGAGAGCGGAGGCGGCATCAGTCAAATTCTGCAACCCTGGTGCGTCACACTCGACCTATTCCTTTCGCATGGCTGGGGGGTCGCTTTCGCCACGCCATGCTTTCCTGCCCCTCTCTCACCGTCCTTCGATGCCAATGCCTGATGCCACGAAGAGCGCCGGACAGAGTAGGTCTGCCCAGAAGGATTGCGATTGCAGGCACGGGCGGGCGCCACGCTCTGCTTCTCGTGGTCGATGCTGTCCGCGGTACAATGGGAAAGAAAGTTGCGACGACGTAGGGTCCTCCAGGGCAGTCGGCATACCGTGCGCGCAGACTGGCTTTGCACTGCCGGTGTCTCCATTTTTTTGTGCTTGGAGTCTGCGACAGCTTGCAGGGGCCATGTTCGGAGCTGTCGCATATATGCTAAGCCCTGGGAGCGTTCGTAGGTATTGAATCAGCCGTCCCCCTCAAATCGTCCGACGCTTGACAATCGACGACAATAGGTTGCCGTATGACATGCGACAGCTGAGCCATGTGGCCAATCCCTAGACTTGACGTCGCAAAGTTGAGGGTGGGTGTGGTGGTGCGGTGCGACCGAGCCGAAAATGTCGAGTGCGTGGGAGAGAGACGAGAATGCGCCAAAGCCAGTCAGATTACGGCGCTGGCCGTCCAGTCTCTGGCCTGGGAGGCTTTTGCGATACCGTACCTAGGAGCAGGTGGTCGTCGCGTTTAGCGCAGCGCTCAGCTTGCTTGGCGGGTAAAGGAAGAGGGGTGGGTAGCGAGAAGCTGTGCTCTTCATGCAGAAATATTAAAATGTCTGCGCACAACCCAGCCGGTCCCTGATGGACCCCTCGTTCGCCCGCCATCATGCAATTCGAGAGAAGCATTGCCCGATGTTGAGCGAGTCGCAATCCAGCGCATCATCAAAATAAACAAAGCAGGTGGTTCAGGCGCATCGCGTTGCGCTCATGCGACTGGCCAGAAACGCCGGTCTGCAGGATGGGCCTACCTGTGCCGGTCGCAGGCTGTCGGGCCAGGCGCGTACGTCCAATTCCGTCGCAATCGTTGCCAATTGCGCGAGTGGATGAACTTGGTGTCGAGAAAAAAGGACCCAGTCCACGAGCAACGCTGCGAAAGCGCCGGGGTACGAAAACAGCCTTTTCTCGATGAGTCGCAACGCTGGCGATGCGGTGCTTGTGCCACGAAGGACGAAGGACTTCCGAGCCCCGCGAGCTCCGCCCGCAGCGCAGCGGAGATGGGAGTGACGAATCCATCACGTGACTTCGTGATAGATTGGTGAGCCGACAGCGACGCGCTAGGCTGTCTAGACCTTGCTGGGTCAAATCATGGACGGCGGCAGCTTGAGGATAACTCACTACTTGAGGACTTTCTGGATGTTTTGGACGGCTTTTCTGGGCACTTTGATCGGTGGCTCGTTGGCTTTTATGCGTTCTTGTCGTTGGTGTCATGGAACGCCGTCATTTGGTCTTCTGTTGGGAGACGCGACGAAAGAACGAAGTTCAAAATCATACTCCGTTTCTGGACTAGCGCCCCGCCTCGGAGCGCAGGATATGACGACTAGGGAGCATGGACGCCGAGGATCACCCGACGTCCCTGTCATCGCGCTGTTGGCCTGCAGACTGCCCGCTTTCGCTATGCAATCTTCACAATCCGTTACCGGGGGCTATTTGAGGGTCTTTCGATCGATTGTGCAAGGCCCCCCATTTCCTCCGATATTTGGCCTCGATGCACACTGGTGGCGAGTCGATGCATTATTAAAGGGTTTTGCCGGGTAATTACTGCGTGCTGTGTACCTACCTAGGTGCCTGTCGACCGCACTTCCATTTCCCAACCGACCCAGGCTGCCTTTAGCGTCTAAGCAAACCCCTGCCACGCATTCGCCAGTGCAATGCAATTATTCTTCTCTTCTCTTACAGGGAGGAAAAGGAGATTCCCGTCTGAAGCTGCAGGCTGATCTCGAAACCCGCCAACAACATCATCGCCAAATGATTTTGGATTTGAAGCACATTTGCGATAACGACACCGAACTGACAAATATGTATCCTGACTATTGAATCATTAGGGATCGAGAGCGTTAAATGTGCGACATCTGTGGTGCGGAAGCCGAGGACAAGAAGCCGATAGGCGTACGAAAAGTGGATCCCATGACCGAACCCCCGATCCCATCAGTGTCACGTGGGTAGATACGGCAGAGCGGCTGGAGGACGAAGGGAATCTCGGGGATGCGGATGACCTGCTCTGGGCAGGTCTGAAGAAGCAAAGCCGTTGAGAGGTTCTTTCGCTCTAGCAAATCTCAATGTTCGTAGGTAGACACTTGGCCAGACACCGACGATGCCATACAGCAATCACTGAGAAGACCGATGCCTTTGACCTTGCATGAAACAGTAGAACGGTACTCTAATCATACAATGTAGTATCACAGATGTTGGAGGATTTGTTCGCGAAAGCCTCCAAATAGTATTCTAGGGAAACCGGTCGCCGTCATAACTGGTTGTAACTTTACCAAACACATTGTAAACCATCGTCAGAGTGGCTCAAAAAAGACATGTGAACGCCTTCAAGCAGAGGAGAAGACCAGCGTGTGCAAATTATAAATGGGTGCACCTGTCTTGCGAACATTTTGTCCGGCACACTGAAAAGAACTCCGAAGTGTCCCCTACCGAAGAAGGAAGATCATCGCTGTAGACAACGACTGTGTGAGATTCCGACTCCTCTGTATCGAGACTGTCTCAGCTTATGCCCAAGGCCCTCATCGAAAGTAAATCGACCACGAGTGGCATTAGGTCACACGTGCCTGCTGGAATGGCTTTAAGTGGTACAAATAAGGCAATGACTCACTTTTCCGCTGGTGGAATACGCTTGAGGGTAGACGGGGCGCATCGTGAACGCTATAAGAGAAGTGAATGCGGTGTCGCGGAGAACCTAAGTAATACATTCTTTCAACATGGCCTCTGGCGTCTGTTTGGTGAGCTGCATGAACGGCCAAAAGTATCAAGATCCTAACATAGCAGAACATAGGCCATCAGTTGCTACGTGAGGTTTCGCAGAACCTCTTTACTAGGTTGTCATCATGCTTGTCGGCCCTGAGATTGTTCTTAGTATTCTGATACTGGCGTGGGAAGCACGAGGCAAAGTCAAGACAGGGCAGGAGACAACGAAATGCTGAGCTGAACTGCCTCATGTCCAAGACCAGGAGAAGCGAAGGAACACGAATATTTACTGCCCAGATGGAAGACTTGATAGGAAAGGTCCGCAGTAACAGTGATCAAGTCCGATGCAGGAGGAAATCCCCTTGGTGAACGGAGCCATATACTCATCAACATCGGACGCCAGAGTAAGGACTGGTGGAGCGGCTAGGAATACGATGTGTCTATGTTTCGGGCATGTCCTCTTGGGGAAAGGAAGACGACGGAGCTGAAAGAAGGGAATAATGAAGCCAGGGGCCGGGCTTGGTCTGTCAGAGTTCGGTCAAACGACTTCCAGAAGGCGCGATGAATCTTTTTTTGTCCTGCAGCGCTATGGCGTTGTTCCCACGAGTCGTCCAACGTTTCTAGAGATCAACGTGGACTGGCTGCCTTTGTTCCTCGAGCGGGAGGCGAGCGAAGGCGAGCTACTGGATAACGTCCCGGGTTTCGTCAACACGATTGACAAAGAAAGACTGGAAAGAAAACCGTTAACAAAGGTGAGGATCAAAAAAGGGGGTGCCGACTCGACCGTGTTTTGCTGGATGTTCTGCTATGGTAGGACTCGAAGCTAAGCGAGGAGGTATCTGGCGCAAACAATTACATCAGCTGTGAATAACAACAACGGGTGGTTGTCCAGGGCAGGATGATCTCAGTGAAACGCTGACAGAATACTCGTGCCTTGCTTTCGCAACACATTGCTTAATCAAACTTCCCCGGATTCGTTCATGCGCGTCGTTGCGCAGAGACATGGGCAGCCCAAAACATTGGATCATAGACAGGCCGACTGGCAACAGAAAAGCCGCTCCTGGCTCCCGTGGTGCCCGCTCGGTGGTGATGCTTGTCTCCGCCCATCAACCGGCCAACAGAGGACCCACTAAATCTCACCAATCCCGTAGCGCGTAGGTGGCGCGTCTCTGGTAAGCCCCCACGTATTCCCGGCCGTCCTTGTTTACTTAGTACTGGAAAACAAACAGCTTCACATTTCTGATCCTAGGGACGCTCCGACCTTACCAGGCCGTTTTTGGTCATAATCCGCCCGCCGCGCCGCCGTGGCAGTTACCACCAAACAGCTTTTTTCGGCTGAGACCTTTTTCTTCCCATCCAAGAGCTGCTTCTTGACCCTCAACCCCGTCCCCATCCTTCCCTCCACTTTGGCCCGTTGTCGAGGCAGCCTGGCACTGGTTCTTATCCTCTGCTAATCCCCGAGATAAATCAGCCTTCCCTTCTTTTATATCCCTACCCATCGCAATCTCCCGTCCCTCGTCCATCCCTTCACTCCGACCAACCGTGCCCGAACTTGATCGGCAACAATTAGGGACCAGAGGGCTTTTCACAACACAACACAATACGGGACAATCCACGCACTCACTGGTGTTTACATGCTATTTCGACGCGCCATTTTTCGCTCTACACATCTTCATCCGCGGCGACTTCATAATTTCTCACTGCCCCACGAGGTGCCGTCGCAAGCAATTTTCAATCAGCAGTGCTAGCTATCGCAAGGCCAGCAGCAGTCGCAATGGACGCTAGAGTAAGTCATTGCCCTCCCTACCTACATCCCGCCTCCCTCGTAACGGCTGCACCCGACTTTAATGCCCAGAGGGCGAGACTCCTCTGAACTATTGACTGACGTCCACCCAAACAGCCCCAGCGCCTCAAAGTCCACGTCGGTGGCAACGAGAACATCATCCCTTCGAAGCACGATTCCCTTCATCAGCGACATAAGTCGACAGGCAACCTCATGTCTCGAAACGGTGGCGGTCTGCAGGCTGCTGCTAAGCGAACCGCTTTCGGCGACGTCAGCAACACGGTCAAAAACCTCACTGCTCTGCCTACCGACCAGCTGCCTGGCAAGGGCAAGGGCGCAGACTTTGCCTACAACAAGGAGAACGCGGTCAATGGCAAGGACGGCTTTTCACGGCCCGCCCAGCGGGCTGCAGTGCTGGGCAACAAGAGTGGTCCTGTTACCGCAGAATGGAAGCAGCCGAGAACCTCGGTCCGCAACGATTCACAGACGCAAAACAAGCAGGTTGCGAAGAGAGCCTCTGCGGCTCAGCTCTACGAACCCCGTCCTTCGAAGAGCAAATATGTCGCCCAGGATCCCATTGCGCCGACAGAGACGGCCTCAAGCAAGCAGCCTCGCCATCACAAGTCTCAGCCTCAGCTTAAGAAGGAGCCCGCTGCACATGTTCTGCGACGCACGCAAAGCAAGCTGTCTACAACATCTACACACCAAGCCCTTGGCACCGAAACCTGGAAGCCGATGGATGACGTGACGGAAGCCGCCTACGAGGATGCTGTCGAGCACATTGGCGACGAGCAGTACCATGGTCCTTACCACAGACGCTCACTGGACGTGGCGGACGAAGGAGATGAGATGCAGAAGGCTATTGCCCTTCTCGAGGGCAACGCCGAGAAGCATTCTATGGAGCAGCTCGCCGAAGCAGTGGTTGCTCCAACACTGTCTGAGCCAGAAGAGTACTGGGATGAGGAAGAAGAGGAGGAGGAGCTCTACGATGACCAGGGCTACACGACTGCGCACTCTTACCGTTCCCGTGGCGATCTCACCACTGGCGGCGCAACCACTGTGCTCGCACCTAAGATTACCGACAAGGTCGAGCAAGAATTGGAGACCGCCCGTGCCATCGTCGAGAGTACTCGTACCCAGGAGGAGGTTGACGACGAGATCTGGGACGTCTGCATGGTTGCAGAGTACGGTGATGATATTTTCGAGTACATGAGGGAGCTCGAGGTTTGTTTGAACCAGAAACCTGCGTTGTGGTGGTCACTGCTAACCGAACCGTGTTCAGATGAGAATGTTGCCCGATCCTCACTACATGGACCACCAGGCCGAGATCCAATGGTCCATGCGTTCCGTCTTGATGGATTGGCTTGTCCAGGTCCACCACCGTTTCAGTCTCCTGCCAGAGACGCTTTTCTTGACGGTCAACTACATTGACCGCTTCCTTTCATACAAGGTTGTGTCGATTGGCAAGCTCCAGCTTGTTGGCGCCACCGCCTTGCTTGTGGCTTCCAAGTACGAGGAGATTAACTGCCCATCGCTGCAGGAGATCGTATTCATGGTGGACAACGGTTACAAGGTTGACGAGATTCTCAAGGCGGAGCGGTTTATGCTCAGCATGCTGAGCTTCGAGCTGGGCTTCCCCGGCCCGATGAGCTTCCTGCGCCGCGTCAGCAAGGCGGACGATTATGATCTCGAGACGCGCACGTTGGCAAAGTATTTCCTGGAGGTGACCATCATGGATGAGCGTTTTGTTGCAAGCCCGCCCAGCTTCCTCGCCGCGGCTGCGCACTGCCTATCTCGCTTGATCCTGAAGAAGGGTGACTGGGTAAGTCCACCGCCATGTTCATCTCCCGAGGCAGTGCTAACACGATGTAGACTCCTGCGCATGTCCACTACTCAGGATATACATGGGGCCAGCTAAGGAACCTGGTTACGATGATTCTGGAGTGCTGCCACTCCCCGCGCAAGCACCACCTTGCCGTATTCGAAAAGTACTCGGATAAGCGGTACAAGCGCGCTGCCGAGTACGTTCAAACCGAAATCAGCAAGGGTTTCACGCTTCCGTACCGCCACTCCACCGGTCGTGCTTCGGCTCTTGACTTTGGCGAGTTTGATGGCAACATTAGCCAGCCTCATCATGCCAAGGCGATGGTCGAGCTCCAGGGCTAGTAGGACAATCGTGCTCGACCAACAGCTGCGCATCATGCAAGAGACTTGGCACCCATGCGCCAACAGGGTGCATGGCTCGACGCGATGCCAATGCTTCTTTCTTAGCGATGTCGGTTGTGACACCGATTTGCACTCGGGCAGCTGCTATAATACGACAATTGCAAGTATGGGGTGGGCAGACCAGCCCAGCCTTGAGATGCGACGACTAATCAATGGCCGGCAACCCTTTTTTGAGCAATGTTTTGGACCGTTATGGCGGTCTGTTGACGACACTGGATGACTTGACGATACCATGACTGGTTTTCTACTCAGCCTTTCATTTCATTTCCGTTGGCCCACGTCGGTTTGTTTTTCTTCTTCATTTTATGCGGCCAGCATTTTTCGGCGTTGGAGGATGGTTCCCACAGAGGGCAGGGCAGGGCAAGGCATGGCATACAGCCAAGGGACGTGGCTTTCAGGAGCAACATACCAGAACCGAAACCAAAAGCAAGTGCAATACGTGGAGGCTTGTGGCATAGATGAACAGGCACAGACTATGATTAACTGCCTGAGGATAAAGGGTTTAGGACAAGGCACCACACTTGTGTATGAGTTATAATTCTTCTTTTGCAAAGGGATTTGCATCTTCTATGTACTGTTACAGTTCGGCTAGAGGATCAGCTGACATGGCCACGATGACGGCGTCACGGTAGACGGGTCAGTAAGAACGCAGTGAAATATCTTGAGCAGTCAACACTTGATTGTCGGTCGAAACTTTGCTTGTGAAGATCGTTGTTCAAGTTGAAGCCGCTGCCCATCATTCAAGTTGCCACACTCAATCGGACGAAGCTCTTCCCTGGCCTGGAGCTCATGGAGCTCTGCAAGCCCCGCAGCCCTGGTTCGGGTGGCTGGTTCTCCATGTGGCACTTACGCCATGGGGAAGCTCCGCACGATCCCGGGCCTCTCATTGGCCCACAGCTCCCATCCAAGGCCGAGGCGTGCTTGGCTGGGGCAGGTAGGTCCCCTTTGCTTCGCTTTCTCCAGTGGATCAACTACTGTGAGGCCACATTGCTGATTCGCACCTCACTCTGGCATTGCCTGCCATTGCTGAATCACCCGCGCACCCACGCACACTTTATTTTTCCGTTGCCTCCTGTCCAAACCTGACACCTCAGCAGAGAGACGATCTGAATTGGATTGGATCTACCCTCCCCTCTTCCCCCTTTGCTCTCCCCCATCTCGCAACTCCTCTCCCACACTTGACTTCGTGTCTCCCTTATCCTTTCTTCTCCCCTTCCCTCCCCCACTCCTTCCATTGGTTGCGATTGTTGAATTGGTCACGTCGCACTCAATCTCATCCCTCCGTCGCCGCTACAATGGTTTACCTAAAGTCTTCTCTCCTGGCCCTGCTGGCCCTGCCCCTCTCCGGCGTGTTCGCCGCTGAGGCACCAGTACGTGTTGCTCGCCATTCTCCGAGCTCGGTAACATTTTCATCTAACCTGCTGTAGGTTGACACCGATGCTTCTGCGCCCGCTCTCAAGGCCGACATCGAGACTACCTTCCCTGATGCCGACATCTTCGGTGTCAAGATCGTCAACGGTCACCCCACGAAGGCCTTCATCGAGTTCACAAACAACGAGGATGCGCCGATTCAGGTCGCAATGGTTGGCGGCACCTTGTCTAGCACCAAGGAGCTTCCCGAGGATGCTCTCCCAACCGACAACATTATTCGCAACCTGACTGCTGCCCGCTACGACCTGACCATCGAGGCTGGCGACAAGAAGGCTGTTCCCTACTCGTTCGCCCTTGACGCCAACCCCCAGGATGTCCTGCTTCAGCTCATTGCTGTCGTCAGCAACGCCAAGGGTGACGTCTTCCAGGTCCAGGCATACAACTCCACCGCCTCCATCGTCGAGCCTCCTACCAGCATCTTTGACCCCCAGATGTATGTTCAGATGCCCATGCGCCACCCAACGCGATGAAGTGACAGACAGACTGACAGTTCCCTTAGCATCTTCCTCTATCTCTTCCTCTCTGGTGCCTTCGCGGGCACTCTCTACTTCGTCTACAAGACCTGGATCGAGGCTCTGTTCCCCCAGGCCAAGAAGGCCAAGTCCTCCAAGAAGGCGCGCACTGTTAGTGTCACCGTGCCTCTGGCCGACTCTGATGCCGCCGCCGAGGCCACCTCCACGGGCAAGAGCTACGACGAGAGCTGGATCCCCGAGCACCACATTAACCGCCCTGTCGCCAAGCGCGTCAAGAGCGGTGCCAGCGGCAAGCTCAGGAAGGGTGCTGAGTAGGACGACAGCACCACTACGACGCGAACCACGCGACGCACCAGACGCGCTTAGACACGAAGCGCCCATGCGGTTACAGATTGGCGGCTTGGGAGCATCCGACAGGCTGAAAGACAAGCTTGCGGGATGTGCACAGTCGGTTGATTTCGGGAGGAAGGGACCACAAAAGTGTTGTACAATACTTGCATACAAGGCATGAAGCTAATGCCAAAGAACTGCTGTAGAAACTACAGTGAATTTTGCCGTTACCTGGAACTTGGCGAAGCTTTGCTGCCACATGAACACGATTAACCGCGAGTGAATCACCAAAGCTGCTCGCCAGTATATACCCCAAATACCAGGCTTTCTTTTTCTCGTGCCCCCCTACCAATTGAGCTCGAGGAGGAGAGATCGAAACATGAGTGGAAAAATTAGAAAAGAAGCAAGTATTCCTAGCACAATGACCTGATGTGCATCTGATCCGTGTTTCAGGGAGCTAATCTGACTGGTTTTGATGGTGCTGAAGGTAAAGCTCTCTGTCGCATGTTGGTGTTAGTATCGTCAGTAAGTTACAACAGTAACATACTACTCTGAACTCTCAAAGGGGCTCTCTAGATCAATTGAAACTCTGCAATGAGAAAATTACTCAATAAACCCGAAGATACGACAGGGAATTGCTGCTTTCCAGTGAGAACAACTGCACCAGGTTGAAATAACCGGTGTTTACCCAGCCACAGAATAGATGAGCTCTCCAGAAGCAATGGGAAGCTGGGCCCCTGCCTTACGCGAAGCTTCCCCAGGTGCGGACCACAATGACGCGCAAACGCGCTTTCCGGCCACGGGCCGCTTCCGCGCTAAGCAGAGTGGACCTTGATTACTGCTGCAACACAGAATTGGGGTCTCAAAGAGCTCGTCTCCCATCGCGCACTCTTCTCGTCCTCCTTCTCTCCCGCACCCCCAACCTTTCATCTTACTCCAAGCAGCGACTGCCGCTCTTTCAGCAATCCAGGAGCATAAGCATTACGCAGCTCAAAGGTATTTTATTTTATTTTATTTCTCTTGAATACTTTGGATTTTAGTGCAGCTCTTCACATTTTCCTTCGTTTCATCCGTTCAGCGTATAACCACACCCACGACGATGGCCCCAACCACACCCGAGGAAACCCCCAAGAAGCGCGGCCGCGGTAGGCCCCCCAAAGCCGATGGCCAAAAGAAGGCCGCTTACGTGCCCACGGGACGTCCTCGTGGTCGCCCCAAAGGTAGCGGGGCGTGAAGAAGGCCGTCGCTCCCAAGCCCGCCACGGGCACCGGCAGAGGACGCGGCAGACCCAGAAAGAGCGATGTCGCCGACGCGACTGCCTCTCCCAAGGCCTCGGCCGCCACGCCCAAGAAGAGCACGCCGGCCAAATCCACTGGTCGCCCCCGCGGTCGCCCTCGCAAATCCGACGCGTCCACCGCGCCTACACCCAAGAACGCCGAGTCAGCCAAGAAGAGCAAGGGCAAGAAGAGCGACGTCTCGATGAAGGAGTCATCCGCCTCTGATTCGTCGTCTGCCTCTGACGAGGAAGGTTAGCGGACCTCTACTCCTGCTTGTCTGGCGCCGTATTGCTTGGCTGCCCCAATGAGTGAAAGGCGTCAGCTCACTGAAATGTGAAGACCAGGCTCTTGAAGATGTCGCGAAGTCACCCTCCGACGCCGCCGAAGAGGTTCGTCGCTGGTTCCCGTCGAAAATGATGCGAGGATTGTTCGGCTGACAGCGATTTCCTTTTACCAACAGTAATAACGACGAACGAGAGAAGAAAAACATTTGCTGCTACTACATCTACAATGGATGGGGTCTTGGGATTTAGGTCTGGTGGGAACTGAGAAAAGCTTTGCAACAGAAAGGCGTTGGGGTATCGCTTCCGAAAGGGCTCATCAGAAGATTTTGGCGTCGACGACGGTAATGTCGTTCAAGACTCCGCCAGCAGACCGCCCGGCACACGAGGATTCGGTCGTTGTTAAGATACCATGCTTTTTGCTGAATATAAGACTAATGTCTTCTACCCCGCCTGGCTTCTGCTGTTAGCACGCGGCATTTGGGACCTTGGACATGGTCACGCTGTTCTAGGTGTTGCGTGCCCTTGTTCCCTTTGATTGCCTCCCAGGAATCATGCCATTGAGCATCGACTGCTGTTATTCCCCTTTCCACTCGACAAACTCGACCGCCAAGTGCTCTTTGAGCTTCGCAAACTGATTCTTAAAGTTCTCGCCACACCTCCAGCAAACAAGATCCCTCTTCATGAGATATCCCTCGTGCCCAGGGTGGCGCCTAGGGTAGTCAGCCGCTAGTGGAAAGTCGGCGACATCGACTAGGAACGGGGTGTTGAAGGAGTTGTAGTGCTTGCGGTGCTTCATACACTCCGAGTACATGTCCCGCGAGAGCACGTGGACGTGTAGGTGGTTCATGCTGGGATGCGCATGTATCCCCGTGATGATCTCGGCGTGCCAGTCACGACCCTTGGGTAGCTCTCCACCCTCCGGCTCGACGCGCCCGTCTAGTACGGCCTCCCGCGCCTCCTCTGCCCTGCTTCCTTTGCCGAACCGCCGCTGCAGCTCTTTGGCCACGAGATCCTTGAGCTTGAGCACCTCCTCCTGCACCGACGCGAGGAACTCGACATCCTCGAACGCATTAAATGGGTGGAGTAGGTTATGTTTTGGGGACCGGGGCAGCAACAGCGTGTGTACGCTGGCTTTGGGGTAGAGATCGTTTATGGCGACGAAGTCGTCGTTGTGGTATATAACACGCGAGGCGGGGAAAGCAGATGGATTCTCGATGTATGCGCCGAGGCCGTCGCGGCTTCGGGAGACCTTGTTACGGGAGGACTTGGATGGTTCAGGGCCCGGTTCGGACTTGCGCTTTCGGGCCATAAGCTCCGCGACTTGAAAGCGCACTCGTTAGAACGCGCGCTACGTACGAGAATGAACCTGGAGTACACTCACAAGCGTTCCGTGGGGCGGACGGCGCGGGAGCTGTCCCTTGGATCTCGTCTTGGGTGATGGCATCCTCTGGGTCCGAGTCTTCCACCGCCATTGCTACTGTTGGGTTTCTAAGAGACGCAAGGCTGAAGTCAGGAGGGTCGGCTGCGCGTATCACCCTCAAGCGTGGCTTCAGTCTCCCATTATACACGTGTATGGTCAGGGCGATGAGAGGCGATCGGCGCGGCGGTTCGTGACTCACGCCGTGATGCCTGTCTTGACTAGCAGTGGTTTTTTTTGTTTTTTTGAGAGGTGCAAGTGAATGCGCATTGGGATGGGGGAAGCTTCAAGGGGATCTCTTACCCACAGCGGGGTAGCTGCAGCTGCAGCCGTGTGCCCCGCCATGCCAACCACAACTCAAATACCTACCTAGCACCGCCTTGCCATTTGCCCATGGTGCCAAGGTCGCCGGGTGCCCACTGCAAAGCCGCCTCTGCAGGACCGCTGACACCTAAACCGGTGGCCGCCGCGACACCAACGACCACTGACGTGGGAAATCTACGGGTGAATAAAATTTCCCTAGACTTTTTTCAGTGACATCCATCTCAACGACCTCTCTTCGGCGCGGTGATATCCACTCACTTGCCCATACAAACACCCTTCCCCTTTGACCATAACGCCTGCATGGCCCGGTTCTGCCCTTAGCCGAAGACTCGCAAGCACAGCCAAAAAAGCCATGGCGCCCCCCAAGAAAGGCAAGGGAAAGGATAAGGCCGCAGCGGCGGCCCCGGCAGCTCAACCCGCCGCATCGTCGTCCAAAGATGGTGCCAAGAGCAAGAAGACCGCCGGCCTTTCACTCATGGAGCAGGCCGCGGGCCCAGCTGCCAACAAGCCGACAGTCAAACAAATCATCGGCGGGTCATCATGGACGGGGAAGCTGCCCCAGAACCTCTTCAACGAGTACTGCCAGAAGCAGCAGTGGGAAAAGCCCGTCTACGACATGCGCAAGACTCCCGAGGGATATGCCTGCTTTGTTACCATTAGTGCAAAGGATCCGAAGACTAAGGAGCTCATGACCCTGGACCCGTTCAAGATCGCACCGGACTACAAGCACCTCCTCACAAGGCCCACTGCCCTGGAGGCCAGGCACGCCGCGGCAACCTATGCCCTCTTTAGGGTCTGCAGCATGCAGAACAAGCACACCGTGCTGCCGCCGGACTACAAGTCCATGTGGAAGGACTTTCAAGACATCAAGAAACAGGACGTCAAGGACGGAAAGGCATGGATGTACGATGCAGACCCTTTCAAGACTCTTAGGGAAAGACAGGATTCCAAGGCAGCTGCTGAGAAGAAGCGAAAGGAGGCCGAGGCGGCCAAGGAGAAGGCAAAGTCCATGCCTGGAGCATCAGGACTGGGCGCATCAAACGCCATGAAGGGCTGGACCACAGCGCCAAAGATCGAAATGGGCAAGCGTTCCCGGACGCAGGTCGAGGCTCTGATCCAGAAGTACGTCACGTGGAATCCGAACAAGGTGCAGATGTCGGCAGCGCAAAAGAAGGCCATCACCGAGGAGCTCAGCAAGCTAGGCTTCCGACGTAGTCACGTCGAAGAAGCCACAGAGATCTGCAAGGATCGTGAGGAGACGCTGGAGTGGCTGTTGATTCACGTGCCCGAGGACGACCTGCCACGTTGGGCCCTGCCGGAGAGCTATGCCGCGGGAATCTCTGTCGCCTCGATGGATCTCAAGAAGGAGGGTGCCATTAAGCGCCTCTCCGAATCAGGCTACGCCCCCGATCTTTGCGCCCGCGTCTTCGAAGAGGCTGGCGGCAATGAAGGCAGGGCGGCAGAGCTTCTTCAGCAACGTCTTGTGGGACAGGTATCGGCAGACGCACAGCGAAGCACTGTGGATGAGCTCCTCCCACCAGGCGTCTCGGCTGATGAGTTGTGGGACGACGAAGTGTCTGCGATGGAGTCTTCTTTCGGCGACCATTTCAAGAAGACATCGCCCGATATTATTGAAGTAAAGCTTGAGAAGGTCAAGAACGCAGGCAAGCAGGTAGATGCGGCAGTCCAGGTCCGCAAGACGCCCAACTACCCTGCCCAGCTCATCTTCGCCGTCGTAGCACCGCTTCCGGCGCAAATCAAGTTGTCCATTATCAAGCAAACGCTTGCCTATTTGGAGGATTCCTACTGGGAGGAGCCCATGAAGGTTTTTGTTGCCATCGACTGGATTCAGCAGAACATCGACGACATCATTGAACGTCCCGGAAAGCTTTCCGAGATCTCTGCGGTGGCATCGACGGCATCCGAGGTCCCCAGCGAGTCTCGGCCGCAGAGGCCCTCGACCAAAACACAGAGGCTTCCTAAGCCCATCTCATGGACACCCGATTCGCGGACGCGAGACGAGTGGCTGAGGAGAACCGAGGAACCCGCCTGGGAGAAGATGATGTCGAAGCGCCAGAAGTTGCCGGCGTGGCAGGTTCGTGAGAAGATCATCAACACCGTCGAGCACAACCATGTCACCATCATCAGTGGAGAGACTGGATCTGGAAAGTCGACGCAGTCGGTGCAGTTCATCCTGGATGATTTGTACAATAGGGGCCTGGGCAAGTGTGTGAATATGCTCGTCACGCAACCCAGGAGAATCTCTGCCCTCGGTTTGGCCGACCGCGTGGCCGAGGAGCGATGCACCAGGGTCGGAGACGAAATTGGTTATGCCATTCGCGGCGAGAACCGCCGAAGCAATAACACAAAGATTACGTTCGTGACGACCGGTGTTCTGCTCAGAAGGCTGCAGACCTCCGGTGGAAGGATTGAAGATGTCGCTGCATCGCTAGCTGATGTCAGTCACATTGTCATTGACGAGGTTCACGAGCGCAGCCTGGACACGGACTTCCTCCTCACCATCGTCAGAGAGGTCATGAAGGAGAGGAAGAACCTTCTGAAGTTGGTTCTCATGAGTGCTACCCTGGACGCCGCATCTTTCAACTACTACTTTACTTCTCAAGGCCTGGACGTCGGCATGGTGGAGATCGCCGGAAGGACATACCCTGTTGACGACTTCTACTTGGACGACATCATCAACATGACGGGCTTCAGGGGCGATGCGGGTGATGTAGATGGTGGGCGAGGTGACGCGATGGGCAAAACAATCCAAAAGCTGGGCCACCGCATCAACTACGACCTCCTTGCAGAGACTGTCAGAGAGATCGACGCGGATCTCTCCCATTCGCAAAAAACAGGCGGGATCCTCATCTTCCTCCCTGGAGTGGCAGAGATCAACAGAGCATGCGGCGCGCTTCGGTCGATCAATTCGTTGCATGTGCTCCCACTTCACGCCTCGCTCGAGACGAAGGAGCAGAAGCGCGTCTTTGCCAGTCCACCCAGCGGCAAGAGAAAGATTGTGGTTGCTACCAACGTGGCAGAAACGTCCATCACGATTGACGATATTGTTGCCGTCATCGACAGTGGAAAGGTGAAGGAGACCACTTACGACCCTGTGAACAACATGAGGAAGTTGGAGGAGAACTGGGCCTCGCAGGCTGCCTGCAAGCAACGACGCGGTCGTGCAGGCAGAGTCCAGGCGGGCAAATGCTACAAGCTCTACACCAGAAACCTCGAGCAACAGATGGCTGAGCGTCCTGATCCTGAGATTAGACGAGTGCCGCTGGAGCAGATGTGTCTTTCGGTGCGCGCCATGGGAATGAGGAACGTAGCCGGGTTCCTCTCGCAGTCGCCCACGCCGCCAGACAGTACGGCGGTAGACGGAGCCATCAAGTTGCTGCGGCGGATGGGTGCGTTGGATGGGGATGAGATGACGGCCCTGGGACAGCAGCTTGCAATGATCCCAGCCGATCTCCGATGCGCTAAGCTTATGGTTTACGGTGCTATCTTCGGATGCCTGGATGACTGTGTCACCATTGCAGCCATTCTCAGTACCCGTAGTCCGTTCATGTCGCCTCCGGACAAGCGCGACCAGGCAAAGGATGCGCGCATGCGTTTCTCAAACGGCGACGGCGATCTTCTCACGGACCTTGAGGCTTTCAAGCAGTGGGACGAGATGAGAGGTGACGGGGTAGGACAGCGCCAGCTGCGCAACTTCTGCGACGACAACTTCCTCTCGTGGCTCACGCTGAACGACATATCCGCTACTCGGATGCAGTACTACTCGGCGCTGTCCGAGATCGGAATCGTTGAGACGAATCGGTTTGCTGCAGCGCAGAGCCAGAGCAAGTCCGGCATGACGCTTCTCCGAGCGCTCACGGCTTCGGCATTCAACCCGCAGATCGCGCGCATCCAATACCCCGACAAGAAGTTCACCAGCACGGTATCCGGTACGAAGGAGCTGGACCCGGAGGCGCGGACAATCAAGTACTTCACACAGGAACAGGGCCGCGTGTTTGTGCACCCCAGCAGCACACTGTTCGGCAGCCAAGGGTTCACCGGCAACGCTTCATTCATGTCGTACTTTACCCTGATCTCGACCAGCAAGACGTTCATTCGGGATTTGACGCGTAAGTCGTCGCGTCTTTGGAGCGAAGAGAATCTTACTGACACCTTTGCAGCTTTCAACGCCTACACCTTGCTTCTGTTCTCGGGTGCTATCAGCCTGGACACCTTGGGACGAGGACTCGTGGTCGATGAATGGGTGCGTCTTCGAGGATGGGCACGGCTGGGAGTCTTGGTGTCGAGACTTAGAGGCATGGTTGACGACGTCATTGCGATGAAGATTGAGAACCCCGGGTTGGATCTCACAGACAACGAGGTAATTAAGATGGTTGGAAAGCTGATAGAGCTGGATGGACTAGATGCATGATAGAAGAGCACGGCGCTGCGAGTCGCGCTACGAGTCGCGCTCCAACTCACACTGGTGGGGCCATGGGGTAAAAATAGAGCAAGAACTTGAGACATGGCATCGTGCGTCTCACGCTGTTGTATACAGTATTCCAACGTGGGTATCTGTATGTTTGGCGAAACCTGGTGAACGGCAGACCACAGAAGTAGGTTGATAAGTTCATCGGTGATGATGAGACAAATGGGAAACTTCACCACTGTTTCCCTGCCTGCCCGGCCACGCACCAAACGCAGAGGACGTTCAACGGTAGTGGGGCGGCCACTCATGTCCGGAATGGATATTTGCATAGACTTGCTGGAGATCGGCGACCGGGGGTTGCGGGACCGGGGTTTTGGACGCGGGGTAGCGCGGCTCGGCACTTGGGTGCAACGGCCTATGCCCCAAATCTGCAACCGGACTTTTTGCGCCTCAACAAACACTGCTCGTGCGCTCCTACATCCATCCCTCTCAACAGGGACGGCCTTCCAATTCTACACTTGCCACTGCGCATGTCCTCCACATACGCACACGCTGTCCGGATGGCCTCGACTGGTTGGACATATCCTCAATCATTGTGAACCGCCTTTTCCTCTTGTCGATCCTCCGTACGCTTGGCAACCCGCAGTCGGCCGGAGCCATGAAGTCCTCGACGCCCGTTGCGAAATGGGCTCCCTTCGCACTGTTTCTCGCGCCGCCCGCTGCCCTGGCGGCACTGCGGCCGCCCTTTATCGACCCGGAGGCTCTCCCCAACACGTCGGTCTTCAAGGGGCCTTGGGAGAGATACATCAAAGCACCCATAGACAAGACCCGCATCGTGCCGTCCGGCATATGGGACGCCGAGGGCAACGTAACGACATCCGGACTCGAGTCGGTGGAGGTCGGCGCGGAGGCCGTGGACGCATTCAACCGCGGCATCACCATTGGGCCGGGCGGGGTGTTGACGCTGGTGTTTGAGGAGAACATTGCTGGACGGTACCTATCCGGGTCTGGTCCCCTGCCGGTGCTCCCCCGTGGCTAATCACTGTTGGTCCTCCGTAGCGTATGCTTCGATGTATCCTCCGCCGGCAACGACCCCGAGATCTACCTGGCGTACTCCGAATCTTCGCTATACGCCGGGCCGCAACCGGACACCACGACGGAGAAGCTGGAGCGCGACTTGCCCTTGCACTTCGAGTTTGACGATACGACTGGCACGGTGTGCGTTGGTAAAGAATTTCTGAGGGGAGCCTTCAAGTACCTCACCCTCTCGATGCCGGAATATCCTGTCCTCTCGGACGACGGCATCATCGATCGACCTCGCCCAGAGGGCCAGGCCGTCCTCGGGCACGACGACGACGACGACGACGATAAAGAACAAGCTCCCCTTAGCTCGTCCGGCAGAGATCCCTACAAGAAGCCGTGGGTGACCCTCCAGAACGTCTGGGTCAACTGCACCGCATTCCCCTCGCAGGCCAACGGCCGCGCCTACTCGGGCTACTTCCACAGCTCAAACTCGATGCTCAACCGCATCTGGTACGCCGGCGCCTACACCCTCCAGCTCTCCACCGTCGACCCGCGTGAGGGCTCCGCGCTGATCGACTACAACCGCGACTGGGACCACAACGAATCGCCCACGGGGTCGTGGTACTCCAACTTCACCATCGCCAACGGCACCGCCGTCACCACCGACGGCGCCAAGCGCGACCGCATCGTCTGGCCCGGCGACATGTCCATCGCGGTCCCCGGCATCGCCGTCAGCACCTACGACATGCTCGCCGTCCGCAACGCCCTGGACGTCCTCTTCGACCATCAGTACCCCGACGGCTCGCTGCCGTATGCCGGCCCGCCCCTAGGCGTCCGCGGCGAGTTCAGCGACACGTACCACCTCCATACCCTGCTGGGCGCCTACAACTACGTCAAGTTCTCGGGCGACGTCGACTGGCTCGCCCGGCGCTGGCCGGCGTACCTCGAGGCCCTCGGCGTGAGCATCAACAAGGTCGACCACACCGGCCTCCTGCACGTCACCAGCGGCGCCGACTGGCTGCGCCCGGGGATGACGGGCCACAACCTCGAGGCCAGCGCCCTCCTCAGCGCCGTCCTGGACAAGAGCATCAAGCTCGCCGAGTGGCTCCGCGACGACCGGCCCGCGGCCCGCCGGCACGGGGTCTGGTCCGGCATACGCAGAACCCTCAACGCGGGGATCCAGCAGCTCTTCTGCAAGGACACGGGGCTCTACTCGGACAACATCGGCCGGCGCAGCTGCCGCGGTCCGGAACATACCGACCCGCAGGACGGCAACAGCTGGGCCCTCATCGCGGGCGCGGTGCCGCGGTCCCGCCGCGCCGTCGTCTCGGAGCACCTGCGGTCGCGGTGGACGCGGCACGGCGCGCCGGCCGTTGAGTTCCCCAACGTCATCTCCCCCTTTGTCTCGTCGTTTGAGCTGCTCGCCCACGCCGCCGCCAACGACCACGACGCGGCCGTCGAGCTGATGCTGCTCGAGTGGTCCTACCTGCTCGACGGGCCCGGCTTCACAAACAGCACCCTCGCCGAGGGCTTCATGGTCGACGGCGGCGTGCAGTACCCGGCCTACTGGTCCGCGGCGCGCAACTCCCACTGCCACGGGTGGTCCTCGGGCCCGACGAGCGTGCTGACGTCCGAGGTCCTGGGCATCCAGCTCCTCGCTCCCGCGGGCGCCGAGTGGACCGTTCGCCCGCACCTCTCCAAGTGGCTCGGCTTCGCCAGGGGCGGGTTCGCGACGACAAAGGGCCCGTTCGAGGTGAAGCTCACCCGCGTCATGACCTCGACCTCGTCCACGGCGACGAACCAGCAGAAGCGGCGGCGGGGCCAGGTCGTCGAGGTCACGGCCCCGGGGCTCACCAACGGCACGTTCGAGTGGGGCCCGTCCTCGTACAGGGTCGACGTCGAGGGGGGCCGGACGACAGCCTGGGTCGCCTGGGACGACGACGGCTTGGTGGAGCAGCTCGACGTCGCGTTGGGGCGGATCGAGGCGCCCAGCGACGACGAGTGGCACCGCCAGAGCTTCATCTACCGCGACGACACGCGGCTCGTCTTTGACGACACGTGGGCGCCGCCGCCAATGGCCGAGCGGCCGGCCGGCGAGGTCGACTGGGATGCGCTGGAAGCAAACTACGTCAAGCCCCTGGCGGACATGTTTTGATACGAGACGTATCTGTACGTATACTTTTGTCATGTCTTCCTGTCGTCCCCTCGCCCCGTCGATGGGGGTCTAGGACGGGAGAGGAAACGAGAGATGGAACTAATGTGTGTATGAACTGGGGGACAAAATGGTATCAGGGAATTCGGGAGGGCTCCGGCGTACGTGTACAACATTCGGCTTGTTTTTGGTGTTGACTATCTAGTCCTAGGTGGAATCAAACATAGAGATTTGGTATGGAAGCGCAGCTTCCTTTTATGACAATGACTGTTCCCGCCCAAAACTCCCATCCCAATACACAGCGAGTGTCCCAACTCTTCTATCATTCAGATCCCGGTTTGCTCCCCTTTCCCACTTACTCCCCCATTGTTGGTATAGTTTCCAAAGTAAATGAAGGGGGGGTATCATATAGTTTCCGCCTCTTGATGTATAAGCCCCCCAACCCCAAAAGACGAAGAACAAAGCATTACAGGCCACGGACATCAGCAACACCTAGTACAGCAGCTCTCCACTTTCCACCATGCGGGAAAACTTGTCGTCGGGGTCGACAAAGTGGTAGTCCTCGCCGCGAACGACGCGGTCGACCTCCTCCCTGACAAAGGGGTACACGTCCTTCCACGCGTTGCGGCCCATCCAGCAGTCCAGGTGTCCGTACCCGGGTACGACGCGACGACGATACTGCAGGCCCTTCTGGCTGCCTCCACCGTGGGACCCGAACGTGTCGCACAGGATCTCGTACGTCCGCTCCGTCGCCTCGGGGGTCAGCACGGCGTTGTCGCGTCCCACAAAGAGCATGACGGGGATGCCGCGGAGCCGGCGGATGTTCTCCGTCGTCGTGAGCGGCCGGAACAGCGGGCCGTTTGTCATGACGTAGCCCTCGGATCCTTGCTTCATGAGGAGATGCAGCTGCGTCATGTTGACGCCGCCGAAGAAGCGGTCGATCTGCCTGTGCGTCGCCTCGTTGAGGTTGCTGTGGTTCCAGCAACGGCCGAAGACGAGCGTGCAGCGGTGACAGCTGGCGTTGTTGCATATCTCTTTTCTCTCCTCGGGGTACAGCCGCAGCACCTCGTTGAGGGCCCGCTGAAGCAAGCTGTCGTCCTTGGCCGTGCTGCAGGAGAACCAGTTGCCGAGGACCATCTTGTACATCTTGTCGAGGGGGATGGGGCCCGCCATGACCTTGGCCATGTTGAGGGTGGTCCAGATGGGGTTCATAAAGACCTGGCTGCCGGTGATGCCGTGGACCCAGTTCGCGGGGATGGTGCCGTCAAGAAGACCGCAGGAGAAGGCGACGCTTCCCATGCAGTGGGCGATGCAGTAGACCTTGTTGTGCTTGGAGTTGCCTTCGGAGTACTTCTCGCGGATGTACTCCAGGCAGGCCTGCAAGTCGAGCCGAGCGTCGTAGGTCGTCCAGTTGTTCTGGGCCACCATCAGTTGGCCGATGCGGTGGACTGCAATGAAGACGCGGTACCCAGCGCGGGTGAAGTAGTTGACCGCGTTGTACTTGATTGTCGGCAAAGCGTAAATCTGGTGGTCCACCGCGGCACCCGGGATCATGAAGAGGTTCTTGGGCTCGATGTCCGGGTTGGTCGGCTCCCACATGTGCATTCGCGTCTTGACGCCGTCGCGAGCGACAATGACAAAGGATGATGTCGGAGGCGTGTCGTTGACATAGCCGTTGTAGGTGACGCTGGGATATTGCAAAGGCGTAAATGGCGCCAGGAAGAGAGACAACGACTTGCGAGTGAAGTAGGTCAAGAAGCTCGCCGCGCTGTAGGCCTTCTTGATGAGACTGCTCCCAGTCGGCGTCATGGTCATGATCTGAGAAACGAAGTCGGCAGGCTGGATGTGCATGATGCCCTTCGCGATGACCTTTCCGAGACGCCATGGCTCATCACAGTCCTCAATGGCCTCCAAGTTGCGACTCGGCTCGGAGATGGTAACATAGAGGGTGCTGGTAGCCTTCCAGAACTGGAACGGAGCCAGTGCGACCGAGGAATCGACAACCTTGTATCCATGGAAGTGATACTTCTCGCCGTTGACACCTCGCAGGTCGAAGTCGTAGGTCATGTTCCGAGTTCCAGGGGCCTTCTGGTCGAGGATGAAGAGGTTGAAGTCACCCCGCTGAACCATGAACGGAGACCCGCGGATGGTCGGGCAGACGAAGGTGCCTGTAAGCATGGCCGAGTGATCCGGCTCCTTGATCATGGACTTGGTGTTGAAGGCCTGAACACTGAGGAAGAACCTCGCACTCTCGCAAAGGCTCTTGGCCGTTCGGTAGGCCAGCTCATAAGTGGCGCGCTTGTCGGCTAAGAGCCCATCATCGCGGTGGACGAATCCCGACATGACTTCGGTGAAGCCAAAGCCTCCTGCCTTTGACCTGCTGGCATGATGTATCAACGACTTCGCTTCATGGATCTTCTTGCACTCCATGTCGAGCTCTTCTGTGTCCTGGGTATTGTTGGGTGCAAACTTAGGCTCGCCGAAGAGGTCCAGAATACCATTCTTGTTGGGATGGATCATGAGGTTCTTTCTGTGGATATAGGCATCGACCGAACGTTCAGCGAGAGCCGTGATGGTGGCGAACGGGTTGACACCAATGGCGCCAGGGATGACAGAAGCATCGGTAACAATCAGACCGGGATGGGTTTCGTCTTCATCCCCAGCGAATACCTCGCCGACATCATTCGTGACGCCGGTGGCACCTGTATCATCTCGAGCCATGCATGCTCCACTAAACATGCGGTTAGAAAACGTCGTGGCTGGACCAAGGTTGAACTTACCCGATAGGGTGCACCGTCACCTGTTGGCCGCCCATCAAGGCGTGGAACGGGTTGTTGACGAACGTTCCGCCAACAGCCTGGGTAGCCTTGGCCAACAAATCGTTGAGCTTCCGGACGTGATCGCTACGCCCAACACCCAGGAACTCGAGAACCGGCTTATCATCCTTGAGGGTAAGCATTGCCTGGCTACTGTCATGGGACATGACCAGGTAGACCTGGGTATTGTCCATTGATCCGCCCTGACGGTAGGCGCCGAACAAGTGGCTCGAATACCGGGCCAAGGCGGAGCGCACTTTCTCCTGGAACGACTCTCCGGTGGCCTCGATGCTGCCAGGCATCATCTCCAACAGGGTCTGGAGGAACGGTGTCAAAGACCGGGGGATCGCACCCTCCTGGATCACGTATCCATCGAGAGGGTTCTCATGCCCCTCTCGGTCATCGATGATGGAGTTAATCGTGGGGCCGATTGGGTTATACGGACTGGGAAAGGGCTTTCCAATTGCGTTCGCCTCTTCGTCCATGTTGTATCTGATTCAGGGGTTAGCTAGCCACAAAACTTTGCTACGGAGAGAGCGGGACCTACCCGAAAGCCAGCATGTCGCCATTGCCGCTCATGTTCTCGCCAACGCGAGGACTCATTGATAGGCCCATCTCCTTGCTGCGGAGAAGAATCTCGGTACTGCCAATAGCACCAGCGCCCAAGAAGACGCACTCTTTGGCGTGAACCCACATCAAGTCTCCATGTAGGTTCGCTCTGAAATGACCCCTGTTGCGGCCATGCCAGGCGAAGAATATGAGATAACCACCAACCTTGGGGTCGGCCTTCTTAATGTACCGAACCTCGCTCTCACAGAACATCTCTGCGCCCCAGTTCCAGGCATCAGCCAGGTAGGTCACCAAGGTAGTAGTCTTAGAGCCATCGTTGACACCGGTACAGTCCTGGCCGGTCAGAGCTGACGGGGACATCTCCACACCAGTGCTGTTAGGACCGTTGCGGAATCTGGTTGTCTGTGGGACCATTTTGAATTTGTTCGCAAGGCCAAGAGCAGCTGCTTGTTTCTTGAAGAGGTTCACTTTGGGAAGTTCGGGCCAGTCGTCTGGGTATTCAGTGGGCTCGAGAACCTCCCTGGCTCTCTGGTAGACTGAGCCGGATCATGTTAGTTTTTTTGCGATTGGCGCTTTCCATTACTTCAAGGGGTACGACTTACATTTCTTCAGACCCCCGGGATCCTCCCTAATGGCCTTCGGCCAAATAGGCATAGACAACGTGGCTTCGTTCGCCTCGAGGAAGACGTTGGCGTTCATCAGACTGGTTCCTCCCAGGCCTATCGTGGGTCAGCAACATGCTCCAACGTAATAGCTTCAGACGATGATAGCGTACCATTGCCGACGATGGCGTTCAGCCCCTTTCCAAATATCAGGTGATACATGCCCGTTGGGTCACCACTTTCAACGGTAGTACTTGGAAGCCAACCAGGAGCGAATTCGCCCGAAACGTGGACCTCGTCAAATGCGTCAAGAACTCCAGTGGGATATTCACCGGGCCACTTCTCCTGGCCTCGTTCCAGTACACAGACAGACTGACGCTTCCCGTTCGCATCTTTGCAGCGAGCAAGGCGGGATGCAGCAACAGCACCACCGTAGCCCGAGCCGATGACAACACAGTCATAACTGCTGCGCATCAACTCTACGGGCTTCGAGATGCGGGGGTACTGTCTCCGGGCATCGTCAGCATATGTGCGAATATTGGCGTAGCCCCTCGACCTAGGACCATTATCCTCTTCGTGAATGCCGAATGTTGGGATTCTATGGGATTTGCTGTATCTGATTCCGTTGGATGGGGGTTCTTCTTGGTATGAACGTGAGGATGCTGTTTGAGGACGTGAGTCTGTGGAGGCAGGCGAGAAGCCATTGTGTCTAGGAGTTGAGCCATTGTGGCCGTTGAGGTATGTGCCGTTGGTTTCCGTATGATATCCGTTGGCCTTATCGACATTGATGGGTTTCACGCCATTCGTTGGGCTATCAGTGGTCGCCATTGGAGCCATGAATGCGGCGCGCCTAGCGCTAGAACCACCGATGTCGTTGTTAGGCTTGGATCTAGAAAAGCAATACTCTGTCGATCAGAGACGAGTCTGCGGAGAATATGCCTTGGTCTTTAAAGTGAGTTCTTGTAGGGGTACTAGCTGGCGGGAGTATATCAGTTTGGTATGGTTGATGAGCAAAGGACCGGCGACGAACAGGACACACAAGAGGCTATATAACAAGAGAGGGGGGGGGCAGAGAGAGAGAGAGAGAGAGTAGAGTAGTAGATGTATGCTTCAAGACCAGGATGAATGCGGAAGATGTCACAACAGAAGACGAGGGGAGAGAAAAGGGCACCATGAAGCAGATGTCAGCATGCGGTCTTGGGGATCCTCGGCGGGCTAAGCAGAGATGCGCCGCGCGAACCTATTCCTGGTCAGAAATCCCACACTAGCAGATGAGCCCTTGTGTAGATACCTAGACAGAGAACCCACAGCAGACCGGGAGGAAACACCATCTTGGGTGACCGGGGTACCGGGAGCATCCTTGCCAACAGGTACAGGGGGGTGCGAGGTGCATTGGATGCGCTACGAACTGCGAACCTCTCCAACTCGGCGAGGAACGGTGCCGGATCCGTCATCCCATGCAAGTGCGGAGGGAATGATGGGCGCAAGAGAATATGAACGACGAGCCAACGCGACGGGAGGTGGAGAGAGTTGAAGCGAGCAGCATGAGGCCCGCGGTGGCTCTCCACCGAACTCAAAGCAAGCAATTCAAGACAAGTCAGGGTAGCGATGGTCTAATGGCACGGGGATATCGTGTTTCAGGCCCAGAATGCAGATCTGAATTCGTAATGGCCTCGACCTCAAGGAAGTGGCCCACCCTGATGAGGCTGGCTGGAACTGACGTCGAGAGCCGAGCCCAGGAGCCTCAGGCTGTGGGCAGAGAGATCAGGAAGGTAGCGAGTACAAAGAACCCCAGCGTCGGCACGGGCTGAAGTGCTGAAGCCGGGGAGAGGTGATGGACATGGAGATGGAGTGAGACTCTGAGAGTTCAGCGCCATGTTTCTCAAGGTGTGAGTGGTCGTGTTGGCGCAGAGGATGCAGAGATGCAGATGCGCAGAAGGAGTCGCCGAAAATACACGGTGAGAGTAGCGCACTGCACTGCGTGAGGGGGCTGATGGATGGGAGCTGGTCTGGGACAGCCAAGTGTGGGTGCGCAGCAACTATTGCAGAAGACCTGAGCCGGCCTATGTCTATTGGCCGGACCGAGTTTGTCATGATCAGGAAAAAAGAAGCTGCCTCATGGTGGTATCATTAGTGCCATTGGTGGGTAAGATTCCGACTGGGAGCTGAATGGCTGCGAGCAGTGTTGGAGCGAGTGAGACGGAGAAGAAAACCAGGTGTGGAGTTGTCGTGAGTGGCCCGTAGTGACATGCCTCTTGTCTTATTTAGTCCATCACGCAAATGGGCCAATGACGAACCTCGAAGGTCGTTTCCCCTTCGGCTTTAACCTCGCAGCCGTTCCCAGTGAGCACCAATGCTAGAGTACGTACCAGTTGCGAGGCCCCCACACCCAACGGAGTGGTTACCCGTTTGGATTTTGGGCGTGGCCTGGCTGGCCCATGCCCGCACCCTGGCCCCGGTTGTCTGCCACAGGCAGCCTCCCCAAATCGAAGGGAGGAAAGGTACTTGAAGCTGGTAGGTGCGCGAGGTCGCACATTTCTCTTCTCCAGTGTGGAGAGTGTACAGGTACTGTCCCTACCGTGTGGTCCCGAATGTGAATGCCTGAAGCATCCTTGCGTACCATACCTTGGCGATTTCAGCAACGGGGAATGCTACCATAAATTAATTTTGATCCTTGACTGACCCCAGGCAGCCACAATCGACACCGAAGCGCCGGTCACGGGAAACCTCAACCCGCTGCGAGCAAGACAGCCGCAACCGTTGAAACAGCTGGGAGCCGCAAAGCATGGCCACTCCTGTCGCCGAGCCGGATGGATTCCCAATCAGCATGAACGACGACGAATCTGGTGTAGACGACGACGGCCCGGACTAAGTCAGAACTAAACAACAATGCAGAGGCGGCTTCTGGACCCATGCCACATGGCAGCCGAGACATGGCAAGCGGCGGCCTTGACTAGTCCAGTTCCAGTCTCCCAATCGCTGTAATCTCTGTAAAGTCCTGATTAGAAGACTGCAAGATCCCGGGTGCCACTGGACAGCTTCAGGGTATCTTAGGCTGCCTACAATCAAGAGAGCCCAATCGGGTGGGGACGAGCACTCGGGAAACGCCTTTGTTGGTGAGGCAGAGAGACTCGCATGGAAGCCAACCTTGGCCCAGGCAAACGAGCCGTATTACCCTTGGTCACGAACGCCATAACAGGTCATAAAAGTAGACGACGACAGTGTGAAATTACATGTGCCTCTTGTAAGCATCTAAGGAGGCGAAGTGCAGATCTAGGGGGGGAGGCTTACACACTACTGCCGTTTCTCGGATCACCGACGCGAGCTACCTACATGGAAGGCAATCTGATTCGGTGTCCATTGGTGGGGGAACGGCCGAAAATGTATCGTTCAGAACGAATGGTTGGGTAAGGGACGGTGACTTTTCGGCAGAGACCATACTCGGTGGAAGTGTGCGGGAATCTGACAAAGTCCGAGGGTTCTGAGATTCAACTCACTTCCTAGTCCCTTTCCCCCGTCTTCTGACTGTTTCTTGATCCATGTCCAGGGCCATGAGAACCCCCCGTCGAGTAATACACATCACCCAACTGCAATATGTGAAGCGACCAACGCTGCGGGTCCGCGGCAAGGACCCGCAGTTCCCACTGCATCGTCCGGCCGCCCTGCGGAACGGGCGCTGGACGGCTGACAGACTGCAGGCGTTGTGCTGCGCCTTCCGCTATGACTGCCATAGGTACCGACTCGGCGGCCCCCACCTGCATCTCATCGGTGCCTTCCATATCCCATCAGGAGTAGTAGCGACTTCTTCCAATCCCGACCTCCTCTTCCCAAGGCAACCGTCAAGCTGAGCTCGCGTCTGACATATCGTTTAGCGCGATGTCACTGCACCGCAATGATCACCCCCCGGCCAAGCTGCATCATTCGCCTCGGCCATCTCCAGCCTTTCTCTTGCTACATCTGCCGTATCCGACATCATTGACAAATCAAAATGAAGCCCTTCGGCCAATTGTCAGCAATCGTGCGATGGGGACACCCTCGCCGCGGTCATCTATAGCGTCATTGTCCAATGCCATCTGTCTGCCCACAAGTCAACCTTTCTAGGTACTCCCTGGGCATAGGGCTGAAGCGCCCGTCCGCTCAAACGCACGTTCGCTACATCAGACCGCCGCTCCTGCAGGGGTCGACCCACTAGCTTTGGATCAACGCCTTGCAACAACCATTTACAACGGGCATGAGGGATATCATATCGTCACCTCGGATGGACGCCAGCCGCCCGGTGATGTTCTACGGCAGCCTGTCGAAGTGACGAAGATCGAATGAGGGAAGCGAACAGTCAATCAGCCACAACCCATCACAAGGGTAATCCGACGCGCACCCAATTTACTCGGCTAGAGACATCGGTGGCCTACTCAGTCTACATTGATCTACGCCTCAGTGCCACAGAACCCGAAGACATGTCGAAGAAATGGTACGTTGCCATGCGCCTCATCCATTGAGGCGTCTCGTTACGTTCACTAAGAGCGGCATCAATCATGAATTCCACCACTTGACGTTCGCGATATTAATAACATGACGTTAAATAAAACAGCGTTGAAATGCTGTGTCACCCTGGATCTACTCCGAGACCGAATCAGCGTTATCGTCGAGTTGTTCCACGGCGCACAAAACCCCCGGACTGTTCTCTTTCCAGCTGCCGCGTGAATTGTCGATGGACACCACAGAAGCCACGAACGATAATTGCTGGCAAGGCTTGCCCCCCCCCTTTCACCTGGCCAATATCAGCTCGGCGCTACGGGGCCGGCGCATGCAGCACAACCCGCCCACGCCTTGTCAGTATCACCCACGCGAGCCAGGGACAGGGGACGGACACCGTATCAGACCCAATTCGAGGCTGGCCATTGAGTATCCTTCTGAAGTGTAAGACTGAGCCACGAACGACGTCAATTGGTTAGTCATTTGTACTTTCACATGCGGGCCCGGTAATTGCTTCACGGTTGCCAGCATTGTCTTCGTCGAATCGATTTGTCGCCATGTCACGAGCTCATCTGAACCTTATTACTTCGTATATCTTGGTGAAGAATTGCACCACGCTAGCTCTGGCCACGAAGCCGTCGGCTATGTCTAGCTGTTGTTTCCAACACAGCACGACCCAGTCACGAACAGTCTCACATGGCGACAATTTTACAACTGGACAAGTCAACTCACTGTTCGAACATTCGCGTACTCGAGCAATCTAGTGACTGGCCATCGGATCCATGGACCATTCTTCCACTTTCACGTGTTTGATCCTTGCTTTAATACAGTGAGCAGTCTCGGAATCACCTCTCGTCAGCACTCTATCTTCACACCCACGACCATGGGGCTATTCCTTCGACGGTGACGCTTCTCATTCGGATCCTTCGCTTCCTTCCTTCGGCACTTCAAACGGAGAGACGAAACGTTAGTACCGACAAGCAGCCAAGGCCGCCTATCGCCACTCAATCGAACGACCAGTATGCTTGAAAACAAATTGCTTGGTATAGAACTAATTCAGGTATCCCTGCCACCAACGCCAGCTCCGAAATACAACTGTACGTTACACCGTAAAATGCCCAAAATCGTCACTGCGTCTGTCCGCCGCCCCTGGGCGTGGTTACCGCAACTCATACCCCATTTTCGCACCCATCTCTGCCATTTTGCCAATGGTACAGATTTAGTTCCACCAGTCACCCTGGTCGTGCATGGCGCGGGCAACCTTGACGAAGCCGGCGATGTTGCTGCCAGCGACCAAGCTGGGAAGCTCGTTCTCGCCACCCTTGACGTACTCCTTGGCGGTGTTGAGGCCGTTCTCGAAGGCAGCAGTCATGATGTCCTTGAGCTTTTGATCAACCTCCTCGCGGGTCCAGCTCAGACGCTGGCTGTTCTGAGCCATCTCGAGGCCAGAGACGGCAACACCGCCGCAGTTGGCGGCCTTTCCGGGAGCGTACCAGACTGCTTCGGCGCCCTTCTCCTTGCGGTGGGCCTCGAAGACCTCAATGGCCTCCTGGGTGCAACCCATGTTGGAGCCCTCGGCGATGGCGATGACGCCAGCAGCAATGAGCGCTTCGGCTTCCTCCTTGGAAACCTCGTTCTGGGTCGCGGAAGGCAGAGCGATGTCAACCTTGCCAAGGTGGGTCCAGGGGCGGGCACCCTTGATGTACATGAAGGAGCCCTTGTGGTCGAACTCGGTCAGAGACTTGCGCTGGACCTTGAGGTCGGCGATGTTCTCGATCTGCTCAGGGGTGAAGGCAGCATCGCCCTCGGCGACGAGGCAGCCGTGAGAATCGGACAGGGAAACGACGGTGGCGCCGAGCTCAATACACTTGAGCGCAGCGTACTGTGCGACATTGCCGGATCCAGAAATAGCCACCCTCTTGCCAGCGAAGGTGCCCTTGCCGGCGTACTTGAGCATCTGCTCGACGTAGTAAACGACACCGTAACCAGTAGCCTCGGGACGGATCAAGCTACCACCCCAGGTGAGGCCCTTGCCGGTAAGAACACCCTCAAACTTGTTGCGCTCCTGGCGGTAGGTACCAAAGAGCCAGCCGATCTCGCGGCCGGAAACACCAATATCACCAGCGGGGACATCGGTGTCGGCACCGATGTGCTTGCTGAGCTGGCGCATGAAGGCAACACAGAAGCGACGGATCTCTGAATCGCTCTTGCCCTTGGGGTCAAAGTCGGAACCACCCTTGCCACCGCCCATGTTGACTGTTTACAGGTCAGCAAAGCACGTTTACTTCAGGGTTGTTGGAGGAGCTCACGGCCAGTCAGAGCATTCTTGAAGATCTGCTCGAAGCCGAGGAACTTGAGGATCGACAAGTTCACGGTAGGGTGGAATCTCAGACCGCCCTTGTAAGGACCCAGGGCCGAGTTGAACTGGACCCTGTACCCACGGTTGACCTGGAGCTTGCCCTTGTCATCCTCCCAGACAACGCGGAACTGGATGACGCGCTCGGGAATAGAGACGACCTCGAGGGCGGTCTTGTACTCGGGGTACTGGGTGAAGAGGGAGCTGTTCTCGAGGGTGCTGACAAGCTCTATTCATCCTGTTAGTCTGATACGAGGCGGCAAGCAAGCTTCGACGTGTCGACATACCGTTGTAGGCCTGCTGGAACTCGGGCTCGTTGGGAAGGTTAGACATCTTGGCAGCTGATCGAGAATGAATGTGGCGTTTGAAAGTAGGCTTGACGTCTCCAAGATGTTGCGTACGAGTTCGTCGGTAGCAGAGAGATGCTGATGAGATTTCGAGTCTACCAGGTCGAGGGGGGAGGGTGCGCCCGCAAGCTTATATACGCATCTGGGTGACCCGTCGATCCAATCCAGAGCCAAATCGAATCGAGTAAGAGCTCAAGAGTCGCCAACCGCGAGGTGTTTCGTTGCCCACCCGTCACCCCGGTCGTCGACTCCAAGCTTTGGGAGCCCCTCGGTGGTGATTGCAGATGCAGCGGGGACCAGGGACTAGCGCGAGAGCGAATACATGTCCGGCTCTGCCGTGGGGGGCGCGAGGGAGATAGGCCTCCCACCTCATCTCAATCTCATCTTTCTGCTCGTTCATTCGGTGCTAGACCGACAATTTGTCCTGCCCATCACACAACAGCTCGGGCGAAACCCATGCGGTTGACGCAAAAAAGACTCAACGAGTCTAGACTGAACAGAGTGCCGGGACCGGGCCTGGATTTCGACGCCATGTGGCCGGGGTTCAGGTCCCTTGATGCAGCTTTCTGATTTGCTCGGCGAGTGTGAATTATTCAGAGCCATCACAAAGGACAAAAGGCTGCCCAGCCGTACGAGCGGTGCGATCCCGGAGGCGGCGACCCGAGCTGCCATGCTGGGGCGGAACCAGGCGACCGCAGGGGCCAGGGATGGCCCGGACACGCCCTTCAAGGGTCTCCATCTTCGGGAGGAATCATGCCTGAAGTGCCTCCATCGACTCCATCATCGAAGGCTGGCGCGCGTGTCCCACACAAGCCAGAACCTGGGGGGACGTCATCCAACAACTGCATGGCCTGCGGCGGCTTTGGGACAGTTGCCCCTTGCGAGGTTCCGCTGGCACATGCTTCCGCATGGATGGGTCCTATCCTGGCCCTTTGGTGTCGCCTGTCCCTCGAGAATCGAAGGGGCCCAAGACAGCATCCATCACCCCCGTCGCATCTCGATGTCATTGAAAATCAGCCTGCATGGTTTGACGTGCCACTCGAACAGCCGGCAGCAATAGCTCCCACGTCTCAGGCAAGCCGTATCTCAGCTGCCTATCCGCGGGCTGTCATTGGTCACTGCAATCAAGATACAGAATCTACTAGCCTTTTGCCTTGCAACTTTGCAACGCTAGAAGGGGATGTCACTGGATCGACAAGGCGCGGCGCGCAGATGGCGGGCATACAATGCCTTACTGAGAGGTGCTGCATAGCTGCCCATGACGGTGCGGCGTCGTGTCTTGCATGGTTGCTCCATATGCCAGCCCGAGGTCAGATAAGGAACTCTGGAAAGGTAGGGAGACTTGCGACAGGTCGGACACATGTCAATTGATCATCACAACTCGTAAGTCCTGGCGCGGGTCGATGCGACTGGGCCAAAAGGCTTAGCAGTATGGCTGTGACAAGATAGATTGGCAAAGCAGCGCCGTTTTTCGGCGTCCGATTTGCGCTTCCGCAATCGGAAGTGAAGAGCAGCGCTGCCGCAGGCGGCGGAGGGGAGGGGAGGGGAACGGGGGGGGAGCCTGGGGTTGGACCGACAGCAAACAAAAAACGACAACGATGACGGTCGGCGCTGGGCTGACATGCGCACGCTGTTGCCGAAGAGTCGAAAGAGCGATGCAACCCGGCAGAATGCGACGACAGCCATCTCCCACAAAGAACCCCGCCGACGTCGCCCCTCCTTCTTCCTACTATTACCCCTTGACACTAAACTCCCGACTCCCGAGCCCGCTGTAGCGCGGTGTGTAAGATCGGCCACACCTCGAATTTTTTGGCGCCCATGGCATGATGGAGTTTCTCTCCTCCGGTGGTACTCCGGGGCCATCTCTTGATCTTTCAGCGTTCCAGTGGACGACGGGAGGGTCCCTCAATCTCGGAATTGGGTTGCTTTGGTTCCTCCGCGGCCTCTACCGTGTATTCGACCTCTGGGACTGTGCCCAGGGGAGAACGGCAATCCACACGACGGGGATGCATGCTGAAGCCTTGTTCGACTGTCTCACACTCTATTGCAGAGAGCTGCGAAGTGGGCGGCGCAACGGCTGGAGAGACACCGCCGCTGGTGAGTTGGCTTGCGGGCTCAAGCTCTCGGCACGTACGTAACGAATTCCCGCCGTAAATACTACGGACCATAGCATTGGTCACCAGAGACACGCGAGGGCCGCAACGTGCCTGCGCGCTCGGTTTTGGAGCTCAACAGTGGTGCATGTCGTCGGTAGCAGACGTGCCCTTGGACGTGAGCTTGACGAGGCAACATGTGAGACTAACCGACCCGAGAGGTAGGTAGGCGTCGCCGGGCTGGGCTGCGACTGAGACAAGGCAGGGTGGGTGACCCAGGGCACAGTCAAGGCTCCTCGGCGTAACACGGTAGAAGAAAGGAGATTGATCACCCAGAGGGACTAACCCCCGCGTGGGGAGACGAAGCCCAAACCCCGAAGGTCGGAACCGAAGAAGAAGGCGGCGGCGGCGGCGGCGGCGGTCACGACAACGACGTGGTTCTGTCGTGTGCCTGTTCACGTCCCGCCGCCACCAATGCCGATCCAGCAGCACCTAGGGGGGTCTTGGGCGGCGGCTGCTCGTCGAGACATGGTTGAGCCCGCCCTCTCCGCTGCCCGCCCGGCGGCGCCCGATGAGGTTGGTGTGTGGTGTGGACAAAACGACGAGCCACACCACACCACACAGCGCTTGCTCCACGAGTTGCGTGTTAGTCAATTCGCGTACACAACCAGAACTCGCGTCCCAAGAGTGCATTTCCGGATTCCCACAACGGAACTTGTCCATCGATGGATGGGGGGGGGGGGGGACACGCGCCTGGGTGAAATTTTTCTTGTTGTTCGTTCGTCTCTCTACCGTGGGAAATAATGCCGCAGGCTAGGCTCGTTTCTCCTCTTCTGTTTCCCCTCGTATTATGGCCACTGCATACTACACACACAGAACAGAACCACTTCCTCCCAGTTTTCCCTTCCGATTCATTCCGAGTCATGGGTGATGGTTCCCACGTCTCGAGTCTCATGTTGTAGGTTTTCTCCTTTCTCGGAAGGAAAAGAAAAAAAAAAGTTCTGGATCCCGTTTCCTCGCCTTGCATCCCACCCCGAGTGAGTCTCCATCGGTCCCCCACAAAGTCCATGGGAACTAGTCAACGCCGCTAAACGCCTATTCCGAAACGACGTGTCTGCGACTCTCTACGCAGACCTCCACATGCCACTGCAGCATCTCCTTGGGCTGGCTCTCGTGGTAAAGGAAAGCTTAGCGTCGTGGGAAAAAAAAACCCCATACCATCCCACTGTCTTGGCACGCATCTTACCAGATCGCCGCCTGGTCGAAATCGAACCTTGTCAGCTCCTTCCCTGCATCTTCCAAATCCTTCTTCGCCTTCATGCGCATGTAGAAGATGGGGCAGTCCTTGCTGCTGCAAATCACCTCGCAGTGCATGCTGCCCTGGCACCGCTGGCACTGCGTCCAGAGACGTCCGAACCGCACCTCGAGATCCGACACCTTGTCCAGGGTCTTCTTGTACAGCTCGCCGACCCGAGGCGCGCAGTCCGAGCACACAGCCCCCGCGCTCTCCTCCTTGCCTCTGAGCGGTTTCTTGCATCCCATGCACGTTTGCGTCTTCTTTGCAAACTTCATCAGACCTCCGACTGTCGGCGCCGAGACTGCAATCGTCCGCGTGTGGGCTCCCGTCAGGAGCGAGTTCGCCTTTGTCTCGCCCAAAATGGGCTCAAAGATTCTGCCCAGGGGCTTCGCAAGCTGGTTGTCAAGGTAGTATCTTGTGTCGATAGGGACGTTGTTCTCGAGAACGTAGATGGGGTCCTCGGACTTTTCGTAGTTCTTGGAGCCTGCCGCGCCCTTGATCATCACGTATGCGACTCGGTCACCCAGACCTGGTGCCGAACCGGCGTCGCGCTTCTTCATTCTCTGCGCAAGCTCTACGTGTGCTTGTTTGGCGGCATAGTCGTCTTTGGTAAGTGCCTTTGTAATGACGAGCTTCGACATGTCCACCTTGTTCTGCAATAGGTCTGCGATAGTGTCTTTGACGTAGCTGGGGAAAGTCAGTATATGAGCTTCCGGGATTGGGCCAGTCAAACTTACTCTTGAGCGCCCTGGACATCTTGGTCGATCAGGATCATGCGAAGCACCTTCTCAATGACGGTCTGCACGAGAAGACAGTTGTCTCGTCGCACCGTCTCGATACCCTTTGTATCCATCTTGTCGTACTTGTCCGGCTTGGTCCAGTACAGACCGGCATATCGCTTCTTGTTGATGAGAAGATACGGGTAGTACACCTTTTCGAACTCCAACTTGATGGGCTTGACAAATTTGGAAGACACGTAATTTGCAGCTTCTTCGCCAAATTTCATCGCTTCGGGCAGGTCTTTGGTACCGAACTTGACCATGACGGAATCAGTGTCGCCGTAGATGACCTGCGCATCGTGGGAGTATCCGTTGGCGATGCAGTACTTCTTCTCCACCTCCTCCTTGGTCTTCATAATCATCTGTCGACCGAAACTCGTCGTACTACTGGCAATCTCAAGACAAGGCAGCTTGCCCGTTGTTGCACCCGTGAGTCCGTAAACGGAGTTTGCACTGATCTTCAAAGCCAGTTGTCGACCGTTCAGCACGGCCTTCTTGAAAGGATCCGTTTCCACAGCGAGCTCGCGCTTGGCCTGCTTTCTGGCCGACAACAATTCTTCGAGAATCTGAGCCAGGAGACCTTTGCGTTGCTTGGTGGTAACAAAGGTATCGCCGTTCGGTGTGACAATATAGTCATCATCCTTCTTCAGCTGGAATTTCTCAATCGCCTTCTTGTTAACTAGAGTCGTATAGCAAAGGTTGTGAGCCTGCATGATACTGGGATACAGAGAAGCGAAATCGAGGGTTGCGATGGGCACGTCGTAGTATCCTCGAGTCGGCTCGATGACCGTGGCACCTTCGTACTGTTCGTCACTGCCCTCAGATCTCATGTTGGGGATGACGAGCTTCTGCTCAAGGGCTTTTCGGAACAGCTGACTGATGAACTTGACCTGCTGACCTCTGGACAACAGGAAGTTGAAAGGGATACCCGTGACCCTGGCCATTTCCGTGTAGTTTTCGAGACAAGACAGCTTATCCATCAACCGCTGTGGGAGGTAGGCGTCCTTTAAGCAGTACAGTGCAAGACGCCGACGTGATTCGGGGGTTCCGTTGAACAACTCTGTAATCATCGTGTGGTGGACGTCTTCCTTTTGTTCTCCCAAGAACTGCGAACACACGGAGTTGAGTGTGTAACTACGGAGGTGATGGTCGCGCTGAACAAGCTGCAACAAATCGAGCTGGAGGCGTCCATTGGTGTTCGTGGCTTTGCTGTCGCGATTGCCCATCTGCTTGCTGGAGAAGTTCGTCTCCTTGGCTCTGGAAGGCATGCTCGGTATACGAGACCAGTACTCGAACCCCGCAACCTTTAGGTGTTTGGCTCTGTCAAGAAGGTAAGGGAAATCGAAATTGGCGATGTTGTATCCGATGATGATGTCTGGGTCGACCTTGATGAGGAACTTCTGCCATTCGCTGAGCATCTTCTCCTCCTTTTCGAAGTCCAGAATCTGTGTGGCGACTATAGGACTGGTGGTATCCAGGCAGAATACGTTCCGCACGAATGGTTTCTTCTCTCCGTATCTCGTTACGACGTTGGCGATCTGAATAACAGGGTCGTGTGTTGCCTCGGGGAAGATACCCTTGCGTCCGGCGCACTCGATATCGAAGGACATGATTCTCAGAGGGGCCATCTTGGACCACTCTCCCACTGGCTTATGTGCAATCAGATCGAGGTGGCTGATTTCGGCTTCGATTTGGCAGTTCGATTGTCGTTGTGACTGGGGGAGGACCTGGTACTTTGTCGCGGGAGCTTCAACCCAGGACATGCCGAAGATCTGATCAATACATATTAGCTTCGTTAACCAGATGCAAAACCAGAAAAACACACCTTGCAGTCGACCATAAATCGAAGAACATATTGAATGTTATCGAACGTCATGACGCCACCATCCATGCCCTTCCACAGACCCTTCCAGTTGGCATTGCCCGACTCGATTGTTGTCCGAACCCTGCTGATAAACTTGGGGTCCATGACCGTAATCTTCAAGTAGGGGCTCTTGACATTTCCTTGGAAACCGTAGATGTTTTCTCTCATGAGGAAGGCAACTGAGTGAATGCAGGGTTGGTGCTGCGCCACTTGTGATTCGAGGTAGGCTTTGAAGGCATTGCAGTCTTCAGGCCGAAACGCCACCGGGGCGGCGACGTACAGGTAATGCTTGAAGTCTGTGACATGCAGCATCACCGAGTGGCCTTTCTCGGTGACACCGAATAGCTTAACTGTAGCACGCCCGCCATGTAGACTGCCTTCCTCGGCCTCGATCTGCTGGAAGATGAGGTTGTCTCTTGTTGGGTTGAAGTCGACGAGGGGAGGCCGCTCCCATGCCTGGTCTTTTTCAGTGTTGTTCTGCTTGCGGTCGGCAATATCCTGGCTCAATTTTTCGAGAACTTCGGATTCGAATGCGCTCTTTGGTTGACTAGAGCCCGGAAGGCCCTTCGAGTTCCTCTGGGGCCCGAAGTGGTGTGCGGGCGAGGATGAGAAACCCTCGACTTTGCGTTTCTTAAGGGATGACGGCGTCGACGGGATGTTGCGACGGGTGCTTGGTGTTTCTCCGAGCACCCGCTTCTGGGGAAGAACTGTAGCCATTTTGGATGTATGGCGATGTTTGGGGTGAGGTTGAGCAAAGGTTATCAGCCAGCGCTCATAGTAGGGTCAGTCGGGGGAGGGTTGTTGGGTTGTTGCTACGATGGAACTAGTGGAAATCAATTAAGGTGGACGTCGCGACGCGCTGCGGCTCGACGTGACGTGAAAGACCCACTCTTAATGAAAAGAGGCGGCCGCGCGACATGATGACTAAGGAAAAACGCGACTCGCACTCGTAGCACACAGTACGGATTGCACCAGCAATAACTTTCATGCTTTTCCCCCACCTGCCAGGGGGTGTCGTGCACCACCACATAACACCACATGCCGAGACCTCCGTTGTGTCTCTTCTCAAAAGGTAGGTGGGCGGCAGATCGTATAATAAACTGATTTAGATCATCACAAAGTTAAAACATGGAAGCCATCCATGAGACCCATTCTGCAGCGTTGACTTCATCCAGTCTTGTATCATGATACAGTAGTCATCAGCAAGCAGCTTACCTTCAAAAAATCAAGAGTTATATACATTTTGTATCATCAAGACTTGTCGCTTGTCAATGAAAATGAATTGCCATCATTGTGACCCTATGCTCTACATCTCAACAGTATCTTTTTTATTATCAGAGAATAACTCCTTCATTGATGTTGGTTACTCAATATACAACTTCCTGTAAAAGGAGGCGTCTACTTACACAGCGACGCGCAGTGTCTTGAGAGGGAGATCAAATGTAGGACTTGATATAAAAGACTAAGGAGTTGTATTGATTAGCATTGTTTCGCTGTTGCGAAACGTAGGGGTAACCATGTGCTTTTTGGCCCTTCTTCAGATATCCATTCTTCTGAGGCACCAACGGCGGCCGGTCAGGACCGCTCAGCTAAGCCATGCAAATAGGAAATCATCAGCAGATCATTGGAAGAGGACTCGGGGTTAACTAAGGCGTCACTTACGCTGATGAAACAATTGCTATGGTACGGTTGAGCGGTCTTGGATCTCAGTGAGGAGCCCTGCGGAGAGAGCTTGAGAGGCCCGACCGGGGGCGTTGGTTCACACTCGTAACGTCAAGAGGGAAAAAGCGAAACTGCCTTGGTAAAATACAATGTTTATTTAAATCTTATTAGGACCGGCTGAATTTGAATACGTAACATCGTTCAGCCCATCGAATGATCTGCGGGATAGCCAAGGCAGTGCCGCATCAACACGTCCCGAGGACGTTGCAACGGCTCGTTGTTGCCGAGACCGTTGGTCGGTCGACTAGCAACGAATAGAAGCCCAGTATCACCCTTGCTGTTTTGTGTATGGCTCTATGAAGGAAGGCAGTTTGTCTCTGTTTGGGGTAGCCGGTAATCATCTTTCCTTTCGTAAAATACCCATCCTGAACCGGACGCCGTCGCTGAGCAATGCAAATCATGAAACCTCCTGCCAAAAGACGTGACCCCATGCATAAGTTTGGCTGATTCTGTAGTGATACCATCCCTTCAAGACGACGTAATCTTAAAGTTGTCGAGCTCGCACCAGTTATTGACAGGCTGTTCTTGGGTTAGCAACCTGTGGCCAAGGGTCGGGTTCGTGTGACTTACAATACAACTGAGGTACTTGCACCAGCTGCAGGTGTTGTGGTAGATGTAAAAGTTGTTGAGCAAGACGATGAAAACAATGATGACGGTCAGCAAAAAGCCAGCTCTGACCAGCCACCAAGCCCACCAAAGTGGCTTTCGGCCCTTGAAGAACCCGACTGGGTTCTTCAAGAACGGAGGCGGGCCTTGGTTAGGGTTGAGCTGCATTGATGCGTACGACGGGTCTTCGGATCCCATTCTCCGTCTCAAGGAGTTGGGAGAATGCAGAACGCAGATGCCGAGCGCCAGACCCATCAAGAAGCCACCAATATGGGCGAAGTTGTCCAAACCTGGCAGAAGTCCAAGCACAAAGGAAATGACGACGTCCAACAAGATGAACATCAGATCTTTGACAGGGCTGCGTCGGTCCTTCCACGAGTACAATAGGTCGAGCAGAGTGAGGGCGATGACGCCGAAAAGGGCACCTGAAGCACCTGTCGATGCCGCCATGACGCCGGCGTAGTTTGCTCCCATAACGTTACCGAAGATACCGGCGCTGACGTAGACCAAGAAGAACCGAATCGAGCCGATAGCTATCTCCATTTCTTTTCCCATCGTCATTTGCAAAAGCAGGTTGAATCCAATGTGGATGAGACCTGCGTGCAAGAAAATGGGCGTGATGAACCGGAACCACTGGTTGGGCTCCGGCGACTGGTTGATGTCGGTATACGTAGGCTCGGGTACGCCGCCAAAACCGCACAAATCGCCCAAGCCGCACTGGTTCGAAGGGTTGCTGGCATCGTTCGAGGTCGAGTTCGGGCAAGGCCAGGTGATGGGTTGTCCTAAATCTTGGATGCCCTTGACGTTGTGCATGCAGGCGACGTATCGAGCACCCATGTTGATCATTACGTACGTCGAGGGACCGATCATGGGGTTGAAAGACGGCTTGGTCATGATGGGAGAGCCCGTCAGTTGAGCTGAGGCAAGTTAGCATCCAGGATATGACTCGTCGTATTCGGCGATATCTTACCATTCTTGACAATCTCGGCGATGAAGACAGCAACCTGGACCAAGGTGAAAACGTAAACAACCCACGGAATACCCTTCCTGTCGGCGCCAAACATGCCCAGCTGGCCAAAGCCAACCTTCTTCTTGTCGCGCTGACTCTTGGAGCGTCGAGATCCCTGCGGTGCGTCGTAGACGTGGTCGTTGTCGTTCATTTCAACGTCCTTGTGCGGCTGTGTCGGCTGCCGGCTCTGCAGAGGAATGTCGTCGGCCACGTTCGGTCTGCTGGAATCGGGGGAGACGGACGAGTGGCCGTAATAGGCGGTATCCTCCTGCGCGTAGGGATTGGGTTGGCGCATGTCGTGCGCGTTGTACGGCGTTTGGCCGTGGCCAGTGTAGGCAGTTTTTACCGTGCTCATCGTGTTCATGCGCTGGGGTTGCGCGGCGTTGACGTTGTTCATGCTCTGGAGGCTCTGTCCGTGGCCGTTGTGCCGGAAACCGTCCTGGGTCGAGTCTACTGGGTAGACGTGATCATCGAAGACACTTTCGAAAGGGGATACGGTGTTTTGGCGCGGTGGCGGTTGGCTGGCCCCGGGCGCGTTCGATATTGAGCTGTATGGAGGCGCAGGTGTGGAACTGGCGGAAGGGATGTGGTTGTTGTTGTAAGCGGCGCCGCCGTAGTAGGGGGCAGGCGAGGGAGACGCTGCTGAGGGCGGTTTGTTGACGTGGTAGTAGTCGTTGGAAGCCATGGTGTGATGGGTATCGAGATGCCAATCACGAAAGGAAATGGATTTAGATCAGACCGGGGAATGGGAATCTGGGCGACCTCGTTGTCTTTTTTTCTCGGGGTCGAATTTCGCTTGAAGAGCCGAGCTGGGTTGGACTGAGCTGAGGTAAAGCGGATTGAACTAGTGCGAAATGGAGAATCGCTCAGGTACCGGAATGGGATAAAACGCGGAGAAATGTGACAGCGTTGAGGTTGAAAGGAGGTGTGTGTGCGCGTGTGGTTGGGGGGTCGTGGGTATTTGTTTAATGAACCTTTACAAAGCAAGGAGCTGAGCCAGGGCGACCAACGGCTGAGTGGGAGTGAGTGGATGTTGGACGCCGACGAGCAAAGTGTTCGTGGGCGCGGTGGGCCGTACTAGGCAAATTACCTCCGACTACTTTAGCCAACCTCTCTCTAAACCTCTCTGTTCGACCAGGCTGTGTGGTGTTACCGGTACGGTACTGCGTATGATGTCGTGAGGTAATTGCAGGTTAACCTCAGTGCGGTAGGTGAGGTGAATTATGTATTAGCGGGCTGGGAGATGCCTGTGCACAATCTGAGCTACACCACTTCGGATGGCCGGACCAGTCGTAACGAGACGGTCGACGGTGACTGTCGAAGCGCAAAAGGTCTGCCTCGAGACTGGTGGCGACCAAGAGTTATAGAAGAAACGAGTGAAGGGGCTGCCAGGCTCGTCAAAGGGTGTGTCGGTCGAGGGATGAATCTAGGAGAAAGAGCAAGACACGTTCCAACGCCCGGATGGGGGGATGCGAGGTTATTACTTTTAAGTAGACCCAGCTTCCAAACATAGGCCCTTTCCCCGTCTTGTTTATACAAAGTGACTTTTTCGCCCAGGCCGCCGAGCGGGAGCCCAAAGTGACTGGTGGTTGGCAGCAACAAGCGTGGTGAGGGCCTGCCGTGACAAGCATGTGTACATCGGACACCTTGGAATCTCAAACACTGCCCACCTCACAGACTCGGGGCCTGTGAATGCGTGGGGATGTGGATGCCAATGACGGGAAGTATGTGGGAGGTGGTGGTCCAGTCAGAGGGAACGAGGAACATGCACAAGGATACAACGACCAAACGGGAGTCTGAGCAGGGTGCAGTAGGCTTGCAGTAGTCCCGGCTCTGAGGCTGTGTCAGCATTGCCAGCCTCCCTTCGCTGAGTCTTCTTCCCCCGCTAGACGAGAGAGGAGTGACTTGAAGGCCTTGGAGACGATGAAAGAGGCAGCGTTGATCACAGCGAGACATGCACAACCAGGCCAAGCTCGGAGGTCAGCCTGAAGGAAGCAACCACACACGACTCTCTCACCAACGTCTCTGCTCCGCTGCAGCCCCTTTGTGCTGGCCAACGGTTGGCATCCACATCCAACTCTGCATCTCGAGCCGTGCTATGTTTGGAACAGCGGGGCCCACAAGTTTCAGATAGTTGCGTAACCACCCTGCCGAACCGGCGTGGCGCCTTCTGCACTTGTACCTGTTCACTACTACGTAGTAAAGAAAAGGGACGCTGAAGGAGGGGGGGCCACCTGTCAGCCGCCGCGGCCTTTGCCTCTGCCTCTGCCTCTTTCTGTCGGTCAGTCTTGCTTCCTATCCGGTTGTTTGGCGGACCTGGCACGCCTGGCAAACAGCAAGCTGTCTCGCCTCACCTGCTGATCTACATAGGATTGCCAAACCGTCAGCATCTCCAAACCCCGACCATGGGCCAAAGCACCAGCTTGCAAGCCTTCGGAGCCTAGAAGTAACAACATATGATGAATTAGTATACGCCTGATAGGCTTTCGACTGACTGCCGACCCATGCAGCGCCTGCAGCCTGCGGACACCATCCTGGCTCCGACACTCGCTCCGCAGGGCGGCCCAACAACCTCCCCTCCCAGAGTCATGACCCTTGAAAACCTCGGCGGTTCCAAAGCGTTGCGGGAGCAACAACACCTATGAGTGTTCATTCCATTTATCATCCCATCACTCGCCATGCCGCTTTTCGACAAGGACCTGCCCGGTGTGGCAATCAACCTTCAACTCTCCATCGCCCATTCCTTTAGTTAGGTAATTCATAGGAAGGTAAATCCGGACATCCGGGGTCCACAGCAAAGCCTTTTACATAGTGCGGTGTGCCTTATTGATGGACCCCAAGGACATGCCCGACCGGAATGTGGAATTCGCGACACCCGTCATATTGCGCGCGCCCTGAAGAAAATGTGTCCGACAGGGTGGGTTCATCGCATCGCATCTCAGTCCCCCCTTCGGACGATCCTACCCGGTCGATGTCCACGATGTAGTGGTGCTTCCTCACATTTCCAAAACAACATTGAGGCTATAAGAACCATAGGGAGAGACACTTCGAGAGCGATACCAAGGTTGGCTTCCCGTAAGGAACACTGTTTCCGTCGACCTATTACCATTGGCTACGAGACCTACGCAGCTGACATCGAGTTGGTCGCCTTTGCAACAATAAGTGCTGGACAGCAGACCGCACCACAGTCCGTCAGCCCACCGACGCGTGCAGGCCTGGAGCACTTACGACAGCTGGTGGCTCGGCCATCAGCCACTCAAAAGTCGCTGGTAGTGGAGGCAAGCCACCTCCACCACACGAGGGAGACACGAGAATTCGTCTGAGCCCGTGAGATGACGACGTACTCGGCTCAGGGCAGCATATGAGTCTCATTCTTCTCAGTCCTTCCCAATGTTTCTTACATGCATGGAAGACAAACAACGATGGAGCTAGCGATACCCTGGCGGCCTTGAAAGCAAGCGCTGTACTACCGGTATAGGCATTGCTTGGGGACCCTGAACAGCCCTATCCAGGTAGCCGGAGACTCCGATAGGAGTCTCCCGTCCGTGCGCTATTGAAGATCTGGGCCCCTTTCACCGTTCTCGCGATCCAGGCGTCCACCGTTATAACAGCCCATCACGTGGCGATAAGATAACAAAGACCCCTGACCGAAGCAACTGGACTTTTTTTTTTTTCTTCGCTTGGGGGGGAGCTTTAATTAGCTAAGGGTCGAATGGCAGAGTTTCTTCATCGCGTGACGAAACCGCCCACAGACGAGCAAACAGCATAATTCACACAAGTCAGTTGGTACAATGGGCAAGAAAACCTACGAGCCTGATTCCGACTCCGACATGGAGGACGGTGGCGCAAAGCTCACTGCACCTACGGTTCGCCTGACTTTCCGAGTCTCTCAACCGCTAGCCATTCTAACCCCACCAAAAGCAGAGTAATGTTGCGAAGTCGACCGACGCCATGGACGTAGACGTTCCCCCAACCCCCGCCGACAAGAAACAGGCTGCGGCCGCCGCACGCGCCGAACGGGCTGCGCGTAGGAAGCAAAGACGTGAAGAGCTTGCGGCACAAGGAGGCTCACAGGTCTCATCGATTGCCAGCACACCGAACCCGGACTCCGAACCCGCGTCGCCCACGAAGAATAGCCAGGAGACAAAGTCAAGAAGAAAGAAGACGGAAAGAAAGACCCCTAAGAAGGCGAATAATACTGAGAAGACGGACGAGAAGGCTGAAGAGAAGATCGATCCGGCGGCAGACACGGAGACACCCAGCGAGCCCGCCACCGCACCCGCTCCGGCACCTGCTACGGACGCCGAGCCGCATCCGGTCGTGGTCGACACAAAGCCTGCCAAGACCGAGGCCACAAACACCACAAGCACATCCGTGGCGGGTGACACCATGTCGAACGCACCCAGCTCGGTCAGCGGGGTCGACTCACAACACCAGGGCCTCAACCGCGCGGCGCGGCGGCGGCTGATGCAGATTGAAAACCGGCGGCTGGCGATCAAGAAGGAGCTCGGCATCGCGGTTGACTCGGACGACCGCCAGGCCGAGGTGAACGCTCTGCTGGCGGCCTGGACGGCACAGTTTGACGAAAAGGCCGAGGCGCGCGCGGCCAAGAAGGCGGCCAAGAAAGACTTGTCAGCAAAGGGTAAGCTTCTCACAGGACACAACATCAACGATTATGAGAAGCAGAAGCAGATAAAGAAGCAGAAACGAAAAGAGGCCCTAAGAGCCCGGCAGGAAGGCAGCTAGGTGAGAAGCTGGCCGGACTGCGGCTCGACGGGCCGCCGACACCCGGGAGGAGTAAGGCATCGTGAGGAGTAATGGGCATAGGAGTGTATGGAGAGAAGCGGAAAAGAGGAGGCTGAAAAGTAAATGCATGTTGGCGTCTAGCGGGTAATATGGGAGGGAAATGAAAAGTAAAAAGTGAACAGCGGGCCGAAGCATCCAGCGTCTCGTGGTGAAGCAACACTCATGGTCCGATGGTGTTTGAACCATTCAAGGCTTGCTTGTGTTACATTTGCTCGGTTAAACAGTAATGTACAATGCCTAAGGGGAGATGGTCAACGAACCAGAGATCCTCCAACCTATTTTCTGAACGCCAGGTGTGCATGAATGCCTCTCATCCGCCACAAGTATTGATCACGGCCTTTGGCCCCCTGTTTTAATAATCCTACACAACGTCGCTCCGCTGCCCTCGGCCCCCCTCACGCCTTCTTCTCGTTGCCGTCCTCACCCTCCTTCTTGCCCTCGTCCTTCTTCGCGCCGCTCCAGACCTCGGAAACCTGCTCCACGATCAAGTCGCCCAGCCCTTTGCCCTCAGCCAGCGCCTTGGCGTGCTCGGCACCCCTCTTGGCGTCCCAATCCTCGGGCTCGCTGCCGTACCACAGCCGCTGCGCGAGATTGCGCTTCTTGTACTCGATGGCGCGCATCTGCTCCTCCGTCAGCCCCTCGCGACGCATGCGCTCCTCGCGGAGCAGCTGCTTGGTGCGCTGGGCCTGCTCGGGCAGGGCCGTGGGGAACATGCGCGCGAAGCGCGACTGCACGCGCTGGTAGATGGACTGGCCCGTCCAGTCGTAGGCGAGCTGGTTCGTCGAGGCCGAGAAGCCCGTCGTGAGCATGAAGAAGCGCCAGTCGATGCGCCGCGGGGGGATCAGCATGATGAGCGGGCAGAGTATCGAGGCCGCGATGGCGGTGTTGTGCACGAGGGGAGGGGTCTGGGGAGGGCCGGGGAGGATCCCGCCGGTTGTGTTGAGTCGGACATTTTTTGGATGGTTTGGGGGAGCTGCGATGCTCAGTCGGACGGACGGGGTTCGGTGAGGAAGGGGCGGGGGCTTTCCGTCGAGGTGGTCGAGAATCAATGCTCTCGTGATCCGTACTGTTCGAAGCTCGCGAGTTGGTTGTCGAGCTCAGGGTGGTGGGCGATGTCGGAGCGTGGGTGGTGTCGAGTCAATGACGATTGGTGAAGCATTCGACTGCAGGAGCAAATGGGAAATCTCCCAAATTTTTGAGTCGCGCTACGGCGCCGATTGAATGTGGGGCCGACCCGGCACCCCGGGAACTGTTACACAGCGCATATTGGCAACTTTAAGAGACGCCCCCAAACTAGATGAATATAACCCAAGGTGGCCAATAATCCTACTGTTCTTGTCAGCGGATTTAAGCATAGTCTGTGAGAAGTCGGTCTAAAACGTGATTTTAGCAAGTAAGCAGTGTGATGATGCAGCCAGAGTCGTTTGGAAGAAGAAAAGAACCAGAAAAAGACAATTGTTTCTTCGTGTCATTGTCAATGACAAACTGCGGGTATGTAGCAAGTTGGAATTCGGAAACGAAGCACAAATATCAACGAGCTGCAGGTAACATTATGTAGAGTCGCCAGTCGCTGAAACCACTCACACAACCATATCCCCAATCCATCCAAGCTTCAAGCTCCGCTCATTTTCGCCAAAGTCGAGATGACAGGTCCCTATAATGGCACTGGGACAACGCAGCAAGTCCAGAAACACTTCTTATGTGACTTTGGTCATAACCTCCGGGGTATGTAGTATCGACAGCTTTGGACGAAGCTCGAGGAAGTAATCCGGAGAAATGAAGGCGGCTAACTGCACCGGAGACAACGGCAATCCAGAGTAAATACACACAAAGTTTAAGGCCAGTAGGCTGCTCATATAAAAGTCTGTACACGTTCAAGAACTGTTTCCACCCCGATGCTCTGCGTTGAATATCGCCGTCTCTTTTCCTGCCCCCTCGGTAACAAATGGGGCTCTCAGAAGTCATCCAGGACTCTGCGATCTCCCTCCAAACAAGCCAGGACATCAGCCGCATGTCGATCTAAGGACAACCCATCAATTTACTTTGCTTTGCTTTGTTATCGCTGAAACCCGACCTCTAAACGTCGATTCTAAGAAACGCCTGCAAATATCCATGACCAAATGACGACCTTTTTAGTTTCCTACTTTTGAACTCCTCCAGATGCAGATGCAGATGTGTGAACAGAGCCCAGAATAGCTTCCTCTTCCTGCCACAGGTGCGCTCCCGTCTCCTTTAGCAGCCGCACGCACCCCTCCTTGCCCGTCTTCTCCGCGAGGTAGAGCGGCGTGTTGTTGGCGCGGTTCCGCGCGTGCACGCTGGCGCCCCTCGTTAGTAGCTCGCGCAGGATCTCGATATCGGGCCCGACGGCGGCCAAGTGGACGGCCGTGTTGCCGGCGTAGTCAGCCATCTTCAGAAGATCGCGCTGGCCGTCGTTGTCCAGGATCTCCTTCACCGTCCGGACATCGCCATTTCGTATGGCGTAACCGAGGACGGTAAATGCCGATTCTGACGCCGTTAGCCGGGCTACGACTGAGTCGAGTGAACCAGATGGATGCGAAAATACCGGGAGTGCCATTTCGGTCATTTCGCCGCGCAGCGACTGCGACATCCGCGCGCTGACCTCGGCGGTCGAGAGGTTCGGGATGGCGAGCAGGTACGACAGCTTGGTCAGGGCGGCCTCGGCCGTGAGGTCGAGGCCGAAGATGACGCCGGCGCGGCCGAGTTCCGTTCCGGGGCCGTAGACGGGGAAACAAAGCCGCTCATGCACTGGCTGACGTTGACGACGATGACGCCGCGGTCGACGGCCGCCTTGATAACCTTGGTTAAGCGTCCGTCGATGCCGCTGGGAGCGTTACCCATGCCAAAGGTCTCGAGGATGAGACCGCGCAGGTCGGGGACACGCAGGACCGAGTCGAGCATCTCTGGCCGGATACCGGGGAAAACTCGAAGACAGGCGACGTGGGCGGTGTCGAGGTGGTTCGTAACCTGAAGCTCGGCGATTCTGGTAGGTCTCAAGACGATAGGCCAGTTAACATCAATACCCAGTCCGTTGACCTTGGCCAAGGGCTCGCAGTTGGGGCTGGCAAAGGCCTCAAAAGCGGCGGACGAAACCTTGCTAGTTCTGTTGCCGCGGAACAGCTTGTGGTGGAAGAACAGGCCGACCTCGGGGATGACGAAGGTTCCTGCGATGATGAGCGAGCCCAGGAGGTTGTCGACAGCGTCCGACTGGAGGGCAAAGATGGAGGCCTGGGAGCCAGTGAGAATAACGGGTTTGCCTAGGTCAGAAAGCATGAAGGAAAGAGCCGAAGCCGTGTACGACAGAGAGTCGGTGCCGTGCAACACGACAAAACCGTCAAAGAGACGGTAGTTCTCCCGGATGGTCTGGGCGATTTCAGTCCAGCCTTCTGCTGAAATGGAGCTCGAATCCAGCAAAGGGTTAAACTCCAACACGCCGTAGCGAATGTGCCGGGAGTAGGCGCTTGGCGGTGTTCTCAAGCTGTCAAGCACGACTTTTTGGCCGTCCTTGATGGCCTCGAGCTGGACTGTACTTTGTTAGCGAATCTCAGCATTGCGTAGCTGTGACAAGTCGGCTAGTTGAATTTTGTGAAGGTTGCGTGAGATGCCTCTCAAGTACAACAGAAACTTTGGGTTCGAACGACATGAGTTCTTGACTGGCGGTAACATTTGGCCGTTGCCCATGTTCACGACAATTTTCATATTTTCTAGTGTATTGTGCCCTCGAGTAAGACATACCTGGAGGCGACGACTTGTCATTGAACGAGGGGCGCGGGGCCATGGCATTCTTCAGGAAACCTCCAATGGGCTGGAGTCCGTCGGCGGTAGGCTGCATGCAGATGGTTCCGCCCGTCATGATAATGAGGACTCGAGATTCCGGGTAGTTGGACGCCGGCAGGAGCCGTTCGGCAGTGGGTTCGAAAGCCATTGCGTATGTTGATTATGCGTCGACAATGGCGAGTTTGGTCAAGGGGGGAGACAGCAGAGAACCAGAAAGAGTTGACGTTGAAGTTGAGAGTTTATTAGATTCCACAGCCTCCACAGATAGGTTGAGGGGCACGGGGTAAAAATGGAGGGGCAGGAGGTTTTGTATGGAGAGCAAGGCAACACCAGTTGGCCAGTGTCACGGGTTGTGCAAAATTTTGGTAAATTTCGTCTAATGGAGACGGGCTGTGAGAAGTGCAATGAGCAGCGGTTAGCTATGGATGGTGAAAGCACGCGAGTGGAGACGGATGGCGAGTCAATCAAGTCATTTTGCAACAAATCCAGTTAAAAAAAAAAAAAAGGCACATGGAAGAGTCGGACGTACGGGAACGGTCTGGTTGAACCTTACTAGAGCTGACATTAAGTTAATGCGTGCCTGTCCTGTAATTGTCCGGAGAGTCAGATAAGGAAAGACATGGGAATGTGGGCAAATATCGACACTGCCCCTCGCACGTTCAAGGGAACACCTTATCGTGATAAGACATAAGAGTTGCAAAAGTTGGGTGACAACTCGAGTATCGTGGGGGAGAGACCATGGGACAAAAGCCGATAGCGGATGGCGGGCAGAGTTTTGGAGGGGTAATAATTAAGTAACAGAACGACCACGACCGCAACGTGACCGTCTCCAGAAGCCGGGCATGGCCGGGCTAGACAACGATGTTGGAGTATTTTCTGACCACGAGCTGGATAATGTGGACGACCCAGATGTGACCCAGATTCAGTGTCGATGTTCCGTGTCGTGCCAAGTTCGTTATCTACCGTTTGGGACAAACCGCTGGCAGTTGCTGGATGGTAACTTGGATTTGTCGCAAAGCAGTAGTTGCTTGCAGAAGTTGACCTTCGGACGATGACGCACGTGCGTATGCTAGTTCCAAAATCAACCTGCCATTTGCACCGGGAGGAAGATACGTACCTTTCAGGAAGACGCTCTGGGAGACCCAGGAGCCTCCTGCCTCCCAGCGGCAGGACCCACAACGCAGGACCAGGGATTTTCCGCGATTTTTTGGGTTCCAGCCGTGGCATCACATCGCCAATCTGGAACTATTGGGGTTCTGCCACAGACACCGCCAAACACCAAACCAGCTTCAACATCCTGGCCACGAGCTGAATACCAACAATTGCAGCAAACAGCCTCCTCGTTTTGCACCAGAACAATTACTACGACCGCCAATTACGACCGACCGCAATTTACGCGTCAGATATCAATAGCAATGCGATTCATTTAGCCGCTATTCGCTGTTACTCCCGCCTCTCACCAGAAGCTTCGATCGAGCAAGCCGATTCCCGACGCGACAGGCGCATCTCGCCGCGCTTCGCAGTCATCATGGATTCCACCGCGCCCAACGGCGGCGTCTCTCCTCGGACATTTGCGATACAGCATCAGCGCCCCAGAGCGAGTTTCCAGGGATGCTCGCGAATCACCGACTACGAGCTCCTCGGCAAGTTGGGTGAGGGTACTTTCGGGTAAGTTCATGAGCAGCCATCGCGTCTCTGCCCTTTATGCTGATCGATAATCTGCAGTGAAGTCCATCGTGCAAGATCTCGCAAGACGAACGCCCACGTTGCCCTCAAGAAAATCATCATGCATCACGAGAAGGATGGCGTACGTGTGACACCAACCCCATGCACCCCAGGCATCAACTAACGGTTGACAGTTTCCCATCACTGCATTGCGCGAAATCAAACTTTTGAAGCTGCTCTCCCACAAAAACATCCTGCAGCTCGTTGACATGGCTGTGGAGCACCCCCAGAGAGCCAGTAAGTCGCTCATGCTCAACTACCCATCTCGCCAGCAGCAATTCCTGACCCGGATTGTCACAGGCGACAAGCGCAAACGGCCAATCATGTATATGGCGACCCCGTACATGGATCACGATCTGTCCGGTCTCCTTGACAACCCCTCCGTTCACTTCACCGAGCCTCAGATCAAATGCTACATGCTGCAGCTTCTCGAAGGGCTGCGGTACTTGCACGAAAACCATATTTTGCACCGAGATATGAAGGCCGCCAACCTTTTGATCAACAATAAGGGCATCCTTCAGATTGCCGACTTTGGTCTGGCAAGGCACTACGAAGGGCCTACACCGAAGCCGGGTCACGGCGCAGGTGAGGGAAAGAGAGAATACACTGGCCTGGTCGTCACTAGATGGTATCGACCCCCCGAATTGTTACTTCACCTGAAGAGGTACACGACCGCTATTGACGTCTGGGGTGTTGGGTAAGCTATGAACCTGTGCGACTTGCTACGCTTCGAAATACTAACCTATCCGATAGCTGCGTCTTTGGCGAAATGCTTGTTGGAAAGCCGATTTTGGCCGGCGAGAGCGACACTCACCAACTCGATATCATTTGGGATCTCATGGGATCACCGACGCCGGAAAACATGCCCCTGTTCAATACGCTCCCGGGTGCCGAGGCTGTTGCACCGCGTCCGCGACCCGGCAGCTTGTCTAACAGATTCAGGGAGTATGGGACGGGTGCCATTTCTTTGCTGAAGGAGCTCCTCAAACTCGACTGGAGAAGTCGTATCAACGCCGGCGACGCCCTCAATCACCCGTACTTCAAGATGGCCCCCATGCCGGCCGACCCAGGCGATCTTCCCACGTTTGAGGATAGTCATGAGCTGGATAGGCGGAAGTTCCACGACCGCCAGGCGAAGCTCCCGCCTGCGCCAAAGGGGGGCACGGTAGGCATGGGCCCCGAAGCACACGGCGCTCAGGCCGGGTTCAACAACGCCGACGCCTACAACAACCGCAACGGTGTAAACGGCAACCGTAACTCCAACGTACCAGGGGCCCACCGAAACGGGGACGAGCGTAGACCAGCTTGGCAGCGAGACAGAGGCTTGCCACCAAGACCGCCCCCGCCTGAGTACGTCAACGGCGGGCCCATGGAACGCGATGCTTTCCGGGACAGAGATCGGGACAGGCGACCTAGGAGTCGAGGAGGAAGGGCACCCGACGTGGATACCTACATACCGAGTTACAGGGATGATGCCCCACGCCACCGGGATGACCGACCTCCGCGCGACCGTCGTCGCAATAGTAGAGATGAACGATGGCACGACCGAGACTGGGACCGCCGGACGAGAAGTCGTAGCCGCTCACCGATAAGGGAGCGCGAGCGGGACATATACCGCAGATGATATTGCGGCCTGTATCACAAGACACTATAATATCGGAGGACAGGGTGGGTAGCTCGGCGAAGCACAGGAACAGGCGTTTAGGGGCGGAGGCATATTCCCACGCAGGGTTGGCATTTTGAAGTGATTCCCAGGTAATGATGGCTTCCCTTCCCTGCTGCGTATGGTATGTGTGAAGAAATCCCGAAATACAAAGTCAAATCTCAGAATCGTCATCGTCCTCCTCGTGAATTGTCTGCGACCAGAGTCCCGGTGTCCGCCTCCGCCTCTTGGGGGGCGGCTTGTTGAGAATGTGCCAGTCAGTCTCGTAGGACGATGAGTCTTCGGTCTTACCGGTTCCTGGCCGTTCCGACGAGGGCGTCGAAGGCATTGGCGTCGGAGACAGAGACCTCGATCTGTCGTCATGCATGCCAAATATTGCGGTGATTATACCGGATGTGCATGACATGGTCAGACCAGCCACGATACCGATACAGGCGCCGCAAGCCAGCTGATGGGTGGGTTAGCAAATGGGCTATCCAGATGTTGCAAGGGATGATGAGGGAACCGACAAAAGTGTAGATGGGCTATGAGCGTTAGCGTTGCTGTAGATGAACACTGTTGCAAGGGATAGAGAGCTTACCTGGAGGCTAGCTAAGAAGTCGATGAAAGCTTGGCCGCATACGATGATATACGATGCCATGAGTACGAGAGGCGACAGCAAGATGAGGATCGTGTTAATGAACAGGGCCACGGGCTTCCATGCAATCCTCGCGGGCCATGTGGCGATGGCGATTACGCCCGAGGCATACGACAGCGACGCCATGTCGTGATGGACGCTGTGAGAATGACGTTGAGACGTTTAACAGGGGTAGCTCGATGTGAGCTACACTCGGGGATGAAAGTGGTCCTGTTCTGCTTCTTGATGCATGTCAAGAGAGTGGGCAAGCTTGCGGTTATCGAGAACAACGTCGATCGATGGAGACAGCCGTTCTGGAGGGGACGTGGTCGAAGGTGAGGAGTTGCTGGATTGTGAAATGGGCAATGGCTATTGTGCATTCCAACATTCCAGCTCAGAAATTCAGGGGTTGATGTAGCGACAGAAGTGTGCACGCGAGCTAGCGGGCTTGGACACCCGCAACTGGCATTGAGTTGGAGGACGGCAAGTGGAGGGAGCTCCAGAGGCAGGGCCAGCTTCAGCCTCCAGCGTTGTCGAGCAGGCCAGTCGCTATCGGACGGGCCTAGGGGCATCGAATTTACAGGCGTGCACTGACCAGTCTGGAGAAGGCGGCCAAGCCTGGTACTTATCTATCTTGTTGCAATTGCCGTCTCTCGAGCTCATATATATTGCGCCTTGGACTGGTGGTAGAGCAGAAGACACACCGAGGAAATGGTAACTTGCGTTTTTCTCTCATTTTTAGTTCATTTGATAAGGAGGGCAAAGGTTCAAGAAGCTACCACAGGTAGATAGGATGAATTACAGATGCAAGTGATCCTCCATACTTCACGTAACCCACTGATCGGCTAAGCGGAGGCCCACCGGTACTTGTTTCCCCGCGGTCCGCAATAAGAATTGCAGAGTACAGAGTACCACTCAGGTACAGCTTATCTGCTTCGGCCACGTTCTATCTGGGCCGAACCCCCCAAACACCGGCGTTGGAATAGTCGCCCGACCACCCCTCCACACACACACACACACACTCGCTCTCTGTTAACATCCAGCCCGTTGCTGAACTAAACTGACCTCTCATCCAATCTCCAAAAAGCGAGTCTCTTGCACTCGCTAATCGTCACCCCATCCAAAAGGCATATTATCAGCCCATCAACACCGACTTCCCACCCGGTAGCCTTCTCCGTACATAAAAAACAACAACAAACCCCGACAACATTCCATCATACAGCGTAGCCCTGTATCGTTTCGTCGAGAATGCGACAGTAAACTCGCAAACCCCGCGCCTACTATCGCCGTGCAACTACGCCTTACCTAACCAGGCTCGTACGAAGCAGTCGCAGCTACCTTGCCTGACGTGGGGAGATTGGGTCCCGACACCCCCCGGATCGTGACTACCGCCGAATCGCTGCGTTGCGCTCATCTGGGCAGCGCTGCCCTCGCGCGCTTTTCCCTGCACTGCTACCGAAGCCCAATCCGTCCGCACCGCCTGCCGTGTCCGCCGGACATCGTCGCTTACCCAAGGAAAAAAAAACCCCAATCCAGACTCGATCTGGCCAGGTCCCAGAACCACCTGCCCCCCAGGCCATACACACGCAGCGAGACCAGGCTGTCGTGTCCCACCCCACGAGCGAATCTGGACGAAGAAGAAACGACACAAAATGGGAAACAACCCCTCGTCGTCGTCCAAGCCCGCGACGCCTGTCTCGTCACAGGACTCTCCCAAGCACCACCACCACCACAAAAGGGAGTCCAAACATATCATCCCGCCCCGGTCTGCCGAGCGAGTTGCTGCCCCGCCCGAACCCTCCCTTACCCAGGCCCAAGGTTCCACGACCACAAAGGGCCCAAAGCCTCTCCAGTCCATCCCGATCTCCAACTTCACCACCGGTTCTCCCTCGTCGAACTCGAGTAACTCGGCCCCGCAACCGAAGCCCCCCGAAGCCAAGCACGTCGTCCGCGATGCGCCTAGCAAGCCCGTAGACGTCCCTGCTGCCGCTGCCGCGACCGAATCCTCCTCCCTCCGGTCTCATTACTCCGCCCACATGATCGAACCAGCCTTGGTTGGGAACAGCAGCGTGAACGACATGTCGTATCTGACACGTCCGCCGCGTATGCCACTCCCCATCGAGGAGGAGATACACACTCCCGGGTCGCCCATCATTGCGCCTGCCGATGCCAACGATGGCAGTGTTGCGGAGGTAGAAACCCTCGAGGATGGCATGACTAGGAAGTCGTCGGCGCTGAGCACGAACACCGTTGACGAGGAAGATGGCGAGGAGCTGATCGTCGACAAGACGCGGCCCACAGTGCCGACTCGTCTCGAATGGCGCAAGGGAGGAGGGAAGGTCTACGTCACGGGAACCATCTTCCAATGGAACCGCAAGCATAGATTACATCCTGTGTAAGTTTGACTCCCGAGCGCATAAATCTCGGCTGCCTGCGTCACACATGTGGCTCCCGGAGGTTTGGGATTCCAGCCACTATGGGCTGCCTTGCCCGTGCCGGGCGATATCCGCAGCATTGCATACTGGAATCTGTTGTGAAGTGGGCTGACAATTGTTGGTTAACAGCGACGGGCAGCCTGGCGTATATGCAGCGACGATTCACATTCTTCCGGGAACACACCATGTTAGGTTCTTGGTGGACGGAATCATGCAGACCTCGCCCGACCTGCCGACAACCGTGGACTTTGGAAACAACCTAGTCAACTTCATCGAAGTCAGCGCAGACGACCTGCCGGCGAAGGCGCCTGTTGAGCCTGGAAAGGACGGTGTCGCCACGGCAGCCACCGTTGACAAGGGTGCTGCCAACACGTCTGCGTCGCAGGCTGATGAGCAAGCCAAGCCCCCTAAAGGCAGAGAGGTGCCATCGCCAAGTCAGTACTTTCAGCAAATACCCAAGTACTTGGTGGATTTCGACCAGCCCGAAGACTCGCCGGCGTATCAGTATGCGGTGACCGCTATAGAGAAGCTGCCGACCCCTCCTAGCTTGCCTGGCTTCTTGGGCAAGCCCATATTGAACGCCGCGGTCCTCATGAAGGACGACAACAGCGTGCTCAACATGCCCAACCACACTGTTCTCAACCACCTTGCTACTAGTAGCATTAAGAACAACATCCTGGCTGTCTCGGCCACAACGCGCTACAAGAACAAGGTGAGCTAACCACTGCTTATTGCTCAGCCCCTCGCTAATCCCCGAGACAGTATGTCACGACAATCATATATAAACCCACCACAACGGACGAGTAGCCGACGACCCGGGGTTTTCTATGGAATCCATTCACTGAGTGGCGTGCCATGCATGAGTAGTTGTCACCGCAGAGTAAATAGTCCTGAGAGTCTTGTATGTCCCGTCTTAGTCACGGGGGCAACGGAATTGAATAGGCAGAATAAGCCGCATTGACCGACAATGATCCTTAATCTCTCCATTTGATGTGAACCTCGTCTGTTCTAAACCGCTGCGTACACGAGCTGTCCTCCAGCGGCGTCCTGAAGCCCGTCTCATACGCCAACAGACCGGCGTGGGCAATCATGATGCCGTTGTCGATGCAGAACCTCTCGTCGGTGGCGTACACGCTGCCACCCCTCTCCTTGGCCATCTCGCCCATCATCTCCTGCAACCGCTCGTTGCAGCCGACGCCGCCCACTATGAGCACCTGGTTGCTGCCGACGTGCGCCATGGCCCGCTCCGTGATCTCGACCAGCATCGCAAACACGGTCTCCTGCAGCGAGAAGCACAGATCCGCCGGCGTGAACGTCTCCTCCCCCTTTTCCTGCGCCGCCTTCATCTGCCCCGCCAGAATGTCGGCGAATGCCAGGATGCCCGAGAACGAGCAGTCCATGCCCTTGACGGCGTACGGCAGCTCGAGCAGCCGCTTGCCCTGCTTGGCGAGCTGCTCGATGTTGTACCCCGGCGCCGGGTCGTTGCTGATCTCGAGGGTGCGCGCGAAGCGGTCGAGGCAGTTACCCACAGCGATGTCCAGGGTCTCGCCAAAGATGCGGTACCGCTGCTCGGCGTAGGCGATCACCTGGCTGTTGCCGCCGCTGACGTACAGCACTACGGGGTTCTGGGCGCCGGTGATGGTGCGGCCCATCTCGATGTGGCCGACGCAGTGGTTCACGCCGACGAGGGGCTTATCCCAGAGCAGGCTCAGGGTGCGGGCGGCGACGGCGACCGAGGTCAGGGGCGCGCCCATGCCGGGGCCCTTTGTAAAGCAGACACAATCAAGGTCGGCGGGGCTGACGCCGGCTTCGCGGAGGGCGCGGCGGGCGAGCTGGACAAAGTGGGCGCGGTGGTGCTTGGCCGTGTCCTTGGGGAGGAAGCCCGTCCCGGGTGGTGAGACGAAGGTGTGCCGGACGTTGGAGAGGATCGTGGACTCGGTGCCGTTGTGGAGCATCACGCCGATGCCGAGCTTGTTGGCGGAGCCTTCGCAGCCGAGGCGAGGAGGCCGCGCTTTTTGGTCATGGTTGCTGTCGTCAGCTTGGAGGGGGATTCGGTCATTGTCGCGGGTGGTGGTCGCGCATTTGTATCGGCGTCGAGGGTCGGATCGTGGGGCCTCTTTGGGGGCGGGTGGTGTTGCTCATGGGATGGGGCTCCGATGCACTTGTGTGTCTAGGGGGACCAATCTGCCAGTCCTCCGCTTTAGTCCTCCCTGTCTCTTCAAGTCTCCTCGGTGAGCGAGCTTGCTGTGCCTAGCAAGACGTATACGCGCCGGATAATCCAGTTCGAAATCCGTACAGTGTGTCGACCTTCTCTCGCCGTCGCAACAGGGACCAATGGCCGAGGCGTCAAAAAAAGTTGACGTAGGAGGGGTAAAAACGGTGGTCGTTGGTGGGATGCCCCCTTCCAGAAGAGAATTGTGGACGGGAATTATATGGGTCGCAATCGTAATCTACTGGTCCCCTGCCCAGGCCCGCCCCCCCAAAGCGCACCTCAGAATGCAGAACTGCAGAGCTGCCACAACCGTCTTTCCCACCGTACCGGACCCTTAGCGTTCTGCCCTGGGCTGGCTTTTGCGTAACGACCGTGACACCCCTAGCTCAGCCCAGCCCAGCCTTCCTCTGCTGACCACTTGCTCTGCCTCCCCCGTCCACGTCCCCGGCAAACGCCGTCGACGCTCACCTCGTCTCGTGGGAAACCAAATCTCCGAGAATTGGCCACCCACAGATACACCTCACTCTTCCTGGACGGGGACGGACAGAGAAGTCGTTCGCTCCAGCGAGAGCCCGGGAAGCACACGAAGAGCGAAAAAGCCGGGCCACACACACACAAAGTACGGCAAAGAGGTACAACGCAAGTATCCCCACACCCACCATCCGGTAAGCCTCGACAAGAAGTGGACTCTCCTCTTTCTTCACTACACAATTCTTTCTCTACTTACTTTTGCCCGTTTACTCCCCTCTCCAATGCCCTTTCCCCTCTTCAGTGCCGTCTTTTACCAGTCACACATTCCTCTTTTTTCTCCCCTTTTCTTCCCTCTTTTGGCGAGTGCCATTGCTCCCGGGTCTTTGGGTGCCTTCCTGCGACTCGTGATCGCCGAGGGGATCTGCGGGCACAGGTCTGCCGAATCGGGGTTTCGGGGCAGACAAAGGTCATGTCTGCTGACGCCTCACCACCGCCGAGCATTCTGACCTCCTTCTTCTCTACAACATCCGAGGCCTCTCTGGGCCCCTCTTCAGCTTTATCCTCATGGACTCCTGGAGGCAGAGGCCTTTTCGAGATTCAGTTTGTGGTTGCGTCACCCAGACGAGCATAATGCCGCGCCAGACCACCCGTTCGTCGCAAACTCCCCGAGTCACTACACAAACCATACCCCCGTTCAACACCACCGCAGGCTGACGCACCAAAGACACCAGAAGCTCCCATTCACCCTTCTGCCTCTGTGCTCACTGCACAAAAGCACGCACCCCTGAGTGCCTGTCGTCGTCCCCGAGGCTCCATGGCCAAGGCACATGACGCTGGCTGCCGCCGCAAGGCCGACCTCCCGTGTCCCGTCCACAAGCACCAGGCGAACACACACGAGAACTAAGAGTCATTTTCCGCCTCTACATACAACCATGGCTTGCACAAAGACAGCAACGGGCCTCATGCATGGAAGGTCATTATTGATCTTCTTCATTATGGTGGGGAATCTATCTTCCTTGCCTAATGCATTGGTCTAGGCAGACCGCCTGCCTCTCAACACCTCGTCGCCATGCTGCCTTTGCATACATATACTTTACATGGGAACCACCACAACCCAAAAACGCCACGCCGACCCGACCGTCCAACCTGCCACCAGGCCCTCTGTACAAAACCAAAAGACAACCAAACACCATTGGGGGTATACAACACGCGTCATCCGGGGATGAGGAGCAGAGATTCGCGTCTCGACGACTTGTCCGTTCCTCATGAGGCGGCAGCTTGAGCTGGCGCGGCTTGAGCCGGCGGCGACGACTGCGATGGATGCCGCTGTTGTTGCTGCAGTTGTTGCTGCTGCTGTAGTGCCACTTGCGCCTGCGGCGTCGGGGGCTGCGGCAATGCCGGTCTGCTGCCAGCTACTCCGGCTGCTTGCGGAGGTACCTGGCCGTTGACCGCGCCCTCATGCGGAAGTTGCCGGCGCTGGTAGACGTACTGCGACAACGGGATGGTAGCCCGGAACTTCAACGCCCGTGTGTCGTACGGGTCGACCTCGTACACGGGCGTCTCGTCCTCGTCGTCCTGGTCATACTTCCATCGATCGGTGTACTCCTCACCCTCCATTCTTGGCGGCGTTGTCATTCCGCGACGGTCGATCCACAAACGACCCAGCCGTCCGATACGTCGACGGAACGCCGGCTGGTTGCTGATGGGTTTCTCCTTACCGCCCGCCTTGAATTGGAACACCGACATGATGCCCCTATCAGCAACTGGTTCTGTCTCATCATCAACGTCCATGGCGTCCGACTCAGATGATGTGGACGCCGGGGGCGTCATAAGGTACTGGGTCTTGGCGGGTCGGAAGCTGGCCTCCATACCCTGTTCCTTGACCGGGGATAGGGGATCTCTGGTGAGATCCACATGGTTCTGGTTCCACTTCCTGTGGTTGTGGACCTTGCTTTCAACATCCGCTCGCAACTCATTCTCCTTTTCAGCAAGCTTATCCGCCAGCTGCAATAGGTCTGCCTCCATGGACCGACCATCTGGACGCACAGCAATGCGAAGATGGCTGCCAGGTGGCTTTTGAAGAGCTGGCACTTCTGCGGGCTTCTTCTTGGGGGCTGTGCTCCGTCAGCATCTATTCCTCGACCTTTGGGCCGCAGGGAACTGCGTACCTTGTGGTTGATGAGGTCTTCGTCCTCGGTCTTGATACCGAGCTTGACCTTCATCTCCTTAAGCTTGGCCCTCTGCTCGAATATCGCGCGGTCAAAGGTGAGGAGCTCACGTTTGAGCATCTCCCGCTCATATGACTGGATAATGAGTTGTCGTCCATCCTCGAGTTCTCTGCGAAGTCGTTTGAGTTTCTCGGCGCTCTGGACGTCTCTCTGCCTTGTCTTTCGCGTTTGTCTAGCCTCGCGACGTCTGAAGCAAACATAGGGGTCGGCTTCATCGCTCTCCTGGTGCGTCTCAAACTTTACGCTGGGATGGATAGGCTTGTTGCCAAGCGCTTGCCTGCGCGACTTCCAGTGCTCATACACATGCTTGGCATGTGCCATCAGCTTGTTGCTACCAAGCGAGGTAAGTGAGGGGACCATCAAATCATAGCCAACCACGGTGTTGTCTATTGATGCGAATGGGGTCTGTTCAGAGGCAGTCTCCTCGAACACTTCCATAATGCGTTCGAAATCATCTTCTGACAGCTGAGATGCGACGGTCTTTTTGGTGGAGTTGTACTGCTTCAGGAATTCATCGTCTTCTGTTGTCATATCATAGGAAACTCCTATGCATTCCTCAACAGTTTGCGAGAAACGGATGTAAGAGGTGGGCTGCTGGAAGTGACTGGGATAAAGCAGATCATAGTTGATCTGGCTCTCCTGAGGAGGCGGGACAGGAATTTCTTGGTCATTGCTAGTACCGGCCTCCTTGAGGATGGATTGGAGATGGTATTCCTAAAGGTGCCATGTCAGTACATGGCTGGTTCGCCGACGACGGGCAGTGAGAAGTGGATAAGCCGGGGTGTGCCAATGTGGGTCACGTGACACATCACGTGATATCTGGCAGCGATACGGAGGTAGAAGTGACTCACTGTTTCCTCGGCTGCTTCGACACCGGTCGCGATCTGGGTTTCGGTGGTCAAAGATTCGTACTCTGCAGCGTCGATATCATCCTCTCTGAGCACAGGAAGAAGCGTCTTGACGCTCAACTTCTTGACTCGGACTTTCCTGGTAGACATGGTGGCGGGTGGGGGGTCGAAGGCGGAAAGCCAGCGGAAAATCCGCGAAAAAAGTCGATCAAGTCATACAGGGGGTCATGCGACGCTGGAATTTGCAGTTTGGAGGGATAAAAATCGACGTTGTTGGGTTTGGATTGATGGTCGAACTGTCGCTGCTTGATGAGGTGACGTTGATGTTCGCGGGTGCAGAGTTTTCAGTCCAGGACTTTCGAAGAAGGAGGTTTGAATCGCGCCCGTCGAGAAGAGGTACCGCGCAGTAGTAAAAGCGCTGAGCTGGTACCTTTGTGGCGCTCGGACCAGCAGCCGGATCGGACCTGGGAAGCAAAGACTGGCCGACGTCCCATGGAACTGACAGGCACCTGCCCAAAGGCCGCCTGAAAATAGGGGGTGCTGCAAGTCACGTGCTGGTCGAGTCTGATGCTGCAAAAATCCAACAAGAGACGGTCGTGTTTGGGATGACATATGGCATTGTAGTAGTCATTCTGGAACAAGCAGGAAAAAATGCATCTCATTTTGAACCTACTTCTTGCCCTCATATCCGCCCGAAACTCAAACGGGAGTGGTAATACATCTGACACTTCGCCAGCCGTTCACGTCGTACGTCCATCAAATGGAGGCGACTTGATCCAGGATTGGTCTGTGCGCAAGCGTCCTGCGCTGGCGGTGGGTTCTGGTTCTGGCTCAGGTCGCTGTTCAGCTGCCTGAATCCACGTCCAATCCCGTCCAGTCCAATCCGGCCGCCTGGTCGCCGCCTGTCCTTACTTTGACTACCCACGCCCGTACCTATTGTACTCCCGCTTAGCCTTGCACTGGTCAATCTCCCAACTCCCACCCTTCAAGGCGAACCCCACGGCGAACTAGCGAACTCGAGCTCGACACAAAGCCCTCCTGCGACGAACCCTCCCCAATCGAACAACTCTCACAGCTGCACACATCGCGCATCCTTACAGCTATAGTCAAGACCGATCGCCCACGTTCTCCATCATGGGCAACACTACCAGTGCGGTGCTGGACAATATTGTCCAGGGGTCCAACTGTGAGCCCCTCCCCCGCAGTCGACTTCTTTGTCGCACAGACTTGAGCGTGCTGACGGGCAGGCAGTCGACAGAGAAGAGGTTGACCGTCTGAGGAAACGTTTCATGAAGCTGGACAAGGCATGTTTTCCCGTGAACACCTTTTTCTTGTCGTTTCCGCTTCGGCGAACCCATGTCGCAAGATGGGGCCACATGCTGACCGACTCTCTCGTAGGACAACTCCGGCACAATCGAGCGCGATGAGTTCCTTAGCCTCCCCCAGATTTCCTCCAACCCGCTAGCTACAAGGTAGCCAACCCATCTCCGACCGAATGCACCGCCCGAGTCATGTTGCTGATACATGCTACCTGCACAGAATGATTGCCATCTTCGACGAGGACGGCGGCGGCGACGTCGACTTCCAGGAGTTCGTTTCCGGCCTCAGCGCCTTCTCGAGCAAGGGCAACAAGGAGCAAAAGCTGCGTTTTGCCTTCAAGGTGTATGATATTGACCGCGACGGTTACATCAGCAACGGCGAGCTGTTTATCGTCCTCAAGATGATGGTTGGCAGCAACCTCAAAGACCAGCAGCTGCAGCAGATCGTCGACAAGACTATCATGGAGGCAGACCTGGACAAGGACGGCAAGATTAGCTTCGAGGAGTTCACCAAGATGGTGGAGAACACAGATGTCAGCATGAGCATGACCTTGGGTAAGTTTCCCTCTCGATTTTGTACTCTCTGCTTCGTCGAGGATCGAGCTAACGTTTACTTTGCAGACACATTCTAGAGTAGAACATAGTGGTGACGCGCGCATCAGGATCACGAGACATGAATTGCAACACTCTTCTAGGTAGAGATACACCATTACCCCCTGGCGGCATCGCGGCCGCTGTATTGGCCTGAATTTAAATTCCTGGGTTTCAGCAGCTTGAGTTTTGGTGCTCGTATCTGTGCGGTCCTCCGATATGATTGCTGGGCCTTGTGTCTGGAGAGATTGAGCGTCTTTCTTTCGAAAGTCACGTCGATCGAATACGGAGTTCGGCTCCGGGGTGGTAACCCTCCCATGTATCCAATCCTCGTGGTTTATTGAGGTGTTTTCACACGTCTCTGGTAGACTCGTACCGTATATACTATGAGCGATGTTTGTTCTTCAGTATTCGGGTTTCCGCTTGAAAGGACAGGACCGCGACACTCTCCGCCTCCCTGCAAGTTGTGAAGTACGGGTAGGTTGGCCGTAACATCACCCTCTGCTTTAGGGTGGGAGACGAACTCGCGAATAGTAAGGATGCCACTGGTAGGGTCCTCAGGTAACAGATCTTCGCCGCATCCGCTTGAAGTGCAGGTACCGCCAGATCGAGGCGCCTCTCGGAGTTGTTTTAGATAGCGATACCTTACTACCCAATGAATACTCTGATTTTGTTTCCTCTCACTGAGAGACCAGCCTTCTAGTATTGCTATGGTCGGTACTTCAGCTGCAACACATTTACTTTAGCTTGTGGGTGGCGTTGGTCAAAGTATCATGGATGTAAAATAGTATATCGTCGTCGATCCTTGAACTTCCTGTAGCTTCAAAGGACGACATAGATTAAGGGACGCATTACTTGTTGAACGATCACCGTATCTAGCCTTCCTCTTAGTGTCTAAGACACTTTCAATGTCGCGTTGTCGCGTCAGTGGTCTCATGCTGGGTGAGCAGCTGCAATTCGACAGGTATGTGCACATTGGTATTGTGAGACGACAACCTTTGAACAAAATCGTTTCTATCAGTCTAATAATGAACCGAGCTTTGCTGTTGTGTGAATCGTAAGGCCTCTCAGGAGGAGTCTTCCCATATCACTCGGTGGGCGTTAGGCAAATTTTGCTCCTTTGTCGAAATAATTCCTACGCAACCCGCTCGGTTTTTGCATTTCTTTCTCTTTGGATATTGCAATCCCGGGCAGGAAAACAATGTTGGCTTCGATAACTGTTGCGTTGGATTCTTGTACATGGTTCAAGTGTGTGGTAGCCCAGTGTACTTATCATTCTCACACATATTTTCCACAATCCCTCTGCCTCGGTCGGGTCGGTGCAAGTGTGCTGTATAGCTACACATGACGACATAGCTTGCGGGTTGAACAGATAGCCAATAACGATGGAAGTATGCTTTGGAATTGAATGTGGCTAGATTAGGCTTATCCAAAGGTGCGGTCGTCGATTGCGTTCGGCTGGGAAGGTGTATGGTTCCAGTGCTCTGACTAATTACACATGGAAATATTACCCAGGGTACGTTTCACGAAATCACTGCATTTGGGGTATATATAACGCTCACCTACCGGGCAGCCGGGAGGCTTAACGTACTACGATAATCTAAACGCAGGCCGGTCAGAGGCTTCAACTCCCGAGTGACACGCTCTTCAAAGGGACTCTCCAACTTGTCTATTACCTATTGAGGAGGTTTTTTTAGTACTCTGTCTTGAGTGGTGACTGCTACTGCGAAAAGTGTACGACCAACATTACTCCTCTCTGTTACAACTCTAGGGCAAGCCTAGTTAGCAATCTATTAAAACCAGTATCAATACCAGCAACTGCTTGCAGCCCAACTTCCAAGTCGCCGTCATCTACACTCTGTCCCGAATGCGGCGCCGCTGTCCTCGCTTTGATTGATTCCTGGGATGATGAGAGAGATCGGTTGAGCAGCTCAGTCTCCATTCGAGTATACCAAGTACTAAAGATTCAAGAGTTATGTTGAAAGTTATCATACAGTAATTGATGCCATAGGCCTTGCCATTTGTCATAATACGTCTTAGAAGTGTGCAGCGTTGGTATTCAGACATTGCGAAGTTGCTGTCCTAATTACTGTCGAGGCACGAATCCGATAAATACACGTGTACCACTTTCGGTGTCTCCGCGGCCACCAGGGTCATCTGCCAATGATATGAGCATGTTGCTTACATCGTACAAAACTCTCATCAACGGATTGTGTCCTGCTGTGCGACGCTAAGCGTGGTGTTGTTGTGTTTAAATGAATGGGCTCCGATCAGGCTTCTCTCCTTGTGTATGTCATCTTTACCGCGCTTCAATGGAAGCTGTCGATTCTGTGAAATTGTAATGTTGAGACAGGAACATATTCAACAAACAATAAAGCTTTTTCAAGCCAAAAAGGTGCAGGGGGCAACATTCGTGTCCTCCAGCTGGGACTACAACGAAGACTGGGAACTCTGCATCCATTCCTCATACGTTCTGAAGGCTATCCCAATCTGGAACACATCACCATCTTCTCAGTCGGCCACTGACCTCAATGTTTCTACGACTTCTAACACTTTTGGTAGAGGTGCCTCATCAGTCCCTCCGCCAAGGTCGCAAGATGATGGTTCCCGGGTATGCGTTGTCGAGCGGCTAGAACCCATCACTGACATCGAGTCCGAGCGATTGATATCTCATGGCAAGCTCAAATCGACAGTGGGCAATTTGCCAATTCTCTCACTGTGGTAAAAAAACACACGGGAAGCAACGTTTTGGACTAAGAACATTTGAATTCATCAAAGAAAGACGATTGAACGAAGGCTACTCAGACAATGTTACTAGAGAGGGCTCAACAGTACTGAGTCGAGTTACAAGCGAGTTGACTTTCCGAGGATATGATGAATAGCGCACTGAAGGTACTTAACGTCATTGCTACCGGACTATCACCTTTAACTAACTACTACATCTCGAATAAGCCATCATTCTATGCAGGTATTTCGTTGACCAAACGAGTACTTTAGGTCGACTCGACCTCGACTCTATGCAACGTACAACAGACTTCGTATCCCATCATCGAGAACTAGATTCAATCTACAACCCAACTAAAAACCCGAAAAATTGGAAACAAGTCTTTGTATTACAGTACTACCATGTTCATCTAATGATGTTCACTGAAAGTCTGTTACTGTTCGAAGCATAACATTTAGAAGGCCGCCGCCTCGTATATAATCCTCGTCGCTTGCAGCTTAGGGAGTGGCAGCTCAAAAACATTACCAAGGACGCTCGACAACTCCAACGATTTCAAATGGCTGGTGACTTGATGCTATCAACAATAGAGTCTCTGATCGAGGCCCTTGGAAATACAGCAGGTCATGTGGCCCCCTCTTCAGTCGAATCTGAAGACGGCGAGTCCAGGATAGGCTTGAAGACGAGCATATGAATCTACTCTAGAGAGACGAGATGCTGCCTTGAGAGAAAGTTGAGCGGACTGAAGCACGACCTAAAGTTTCTGACCTTTGCGCACGAAATGGGCCAGGCCATCGGCGTCAAGCGCTTGACTCTGCTTGCGATCATTTTCCTTCCCCTGTCTTTGACTGCAGCTATACTAAGCATTCAAACACGACTCAAGGATCTTGGACTACTTATCTACGACCTTATCGGAACTTTTGTTGTCCTCGGGACACATTTTATCTTCATTGCAGCCGTCGTCAAACCCTTTAGTAAGCTGTCTGATCATGTTGAACTCACGGATGCAATGTTCCAGCAAGCCCAGGTTGAAACGACAAGGCGGTTTAAGAAAATTCGCAAGCTACCCGGTTCTGCTCTAAGGGTTATGATAAGGGTCCTTTGGTCGTCCTGTCTATTGTCTTTCCTTGAGGGTATGGTTACAGACGTCAGTGTGATGGCGCGAAGCTTTCTAAGGTTTTTGGCGATTGGTACGATCAGTACGTTGTCAGCGATAGTGGCAATCTTTATCATTGAACGAATCTTACAACTTAAAAGGCGTAAGCGAACAAGGGACTCGGAGGTGTCTGCCCCGATTAACAGGGAGCGAGAATATGAGCAGAGAGATGCAGCAGGAAGAAGCAGTGCGTCTATCCAACTACAAGAAAGACGTCTACCTATGAGTTAAGCTAGTAGCATGTTAAAAAGTGTTCTAAACCCATTCTCGATGTTGATGTATTGAGAGTTAGACTTAACTTTATGTATACATTGTTGCACTGACTAAGTAACAGCGAAATCCGATGATGTGAGAAAGTGAGACTAAACGTTGTCAGTATTTGATGTCCTACTACTGTTACCAAGCGCTGACAGTGAAGCCTCTGCACAGTGAACCTTGAATCCGAACGGCCCGTTCATGCTCGCGCACTGACGAGCACTACTGTTAGCATCACTTATATGGGCTCGACGCGCCTATTGTGTGACGAACTTGAGTTCTGGTGAACACATTCAAGTGCCTGGCTTGGTGTGAGACGTCATAGATACTTATCAAACTGGAACTGTTTGCTAAGCGACAACGCATATTCGAGTAGCATTCTGGTGCGAATTCTAGCGAGGACGTTGAAGAATACGTGATAGTGCCATCATAATTACAAACTAGGCAACCGAAGCATTATGTGGCTTGGACCGATACATCCCCACGTGTCACCATGAATCCACTCTTGTTAAATAAAGCCAGGAGAACGCAGGCGGAGTCGAGGCTTGTACGGAGGCAAACCCTCAGTCTAGTCAGTGAGATGAGTGCGATGTCAGCCGGCGTGCTGCGTATGACTTTGACCCAAAGCCTCAGAAGGCCATTTCTTATATCATTGTCGGAATCTATGAAGCAGTGGAAGGCTCTCATTATAAGGCCATTAAGCAATCTCCAGATATGCCAACCAATCTCAGAGCTGCCAAGAACAGAACGAGATGGACGTTCCGGTCAAAGCCGGCCGCGAAAGACCCACATCACCGGGACCCACCCGGGTCTACCAGAGCAGCGTCGGTTTTAGTTTCCAACGTGAAAGCGGGCCAAGCACCAACGAAGATCCGGTTCAGTGAGCCGATACCCAAAAGCTGTAGGTATGGGTACAAACGTCGAGGCTCCACTGTGGTTCTCTTGTTTGCAAGGATTATCAGATCATGTCTGTCTACCCACAGGGACACCTTTTCCTCACCCCCAAAGCAGAGAGTGTGGTGGAGCCAGGGCGTCGAAAAAGTGATAGATCACATTTGTTGATATGCAAACCAACGCAAAGGAAAAACATGCAAGTCTCAACCCTGTCCCTCCAACCCTTACCAACCATGGCACTGGGAAATTTAGGGCGGGACAGAGAGGGCCGCAAGTCGAGGTACGGGTATGCTTGCTAACAGTCGGCGCTGCTAGCCCCTTTTTAGTTAAGCAGCCTGGCCATTCCACAACTACTCCAGCCCTGACGCCTGTATGCCGCTCGAACAACCAGAGACAGGACATCCCCGAGATCTACGTCTCTTCCCGCAACGCGGATCCCGAGCGCTTTCCAGAGCTCTGGGTTTGGTGGGCAAGACACACACCTTGACCAAGTAAGGATGGGCTGGCTTGTTTAATCTACGCCATGGTTAATCTGCGCTAAGACCCCTCACTTGAAGACGACATCACAAACCTCAAAGCGGCTGGGGCGTCCGTGAGATATCGCCAATACCCAATCTGTCGCCAAAGCCTGGCTCGTTTCGCTCTGTCGTTCAACAACGGCAACGACAGGGCGATCTGTGCCTCGATAGGCAGCCCTGCTTTGCACACGAACCGGGGATGACTTTTCAGCCGTGTCTCAATAAACTCTTCACCCTTGTCAGCAACTCAAATAACAACATCACCCACAGAACCCCAGTGATCTACAACTTGGTATCCCGTTTCTCGCGGGCGAAAGATATACCCTGTAGCTCCCCTGTCCTACTCCGCCTCACACGACAAGCCTCATTTGGCGGCAATATTTGCTTCTTCTGCTCCGGACCGGCTCTCCCTTGCGGCTTCACAGGTGAAATGCTGGGTAGGGTTATATCCATTGTTATACAGTTGTTGCCTTTCTCTCACATATCTGACGATACGTCCGCATTGGCACTGATAACATGATCGACTAGGCCAATCAGAGTCGTGACAGTCAACACGCACCCAACACCAAAGTCCCGAACAGCCGGGCTCTCGCTCTCAGTGCCGTCTCGACATGGCCAAATCACAATCTTGTCCCCACGCCCTTGCCCGGCCTCATGCAAGGTCCTGGTCACTTGTCACATCGCATCACGGTCACACTCATGTTCCGCCTGTACGCGGCTGTGTTCCAATTCTGCCTGGCTGCTACCGGGTCTATGATTGATTCCTTTGCTTTTTGCATTGCCTTCCGACGCATTCTCTCGCCAATCCATGTCGCTCAAGGCAACCGGAGATGGCAGGAGATCCATTCGGCGGCGAAACGCTGTCCGCTCTCGTATCCAAAGTCTCAATTCTTTGGTAGCTTGGTCGCGAGCAGGAGCTGGGGGGTTGGTTCTGCCGCGCAATGAACAGGGGAGGCTGACAAGCCACCTACAATTCAATCAGCAGCATGCATTGGCTCGCCGAGCTGCAAACGCCAATCCCGCACACAACCCGACATTCAGACAACTCGCAGGCAACATGCACAGCCCAGTCGGCAGGAGAAAGGAAGACCTGCAACACCCTGCAGGCAAACGCTTCCACAGTCGTCTCTTCCCGCACCTACCACAGGCCATATAATACGGGGGAGCCTGTTTACCCCCCCCCCCCCCCCCTTATGAACGGATTTTGCCCGCTCTCACTCAATCTGGTCAATTGTCAGAAGCGGGATGCCCGCCAAGATCGTAATCGCAAGCCGAGACAACGCAGTCTCAACTCTGCAAATACAAAACCCACACCACTTGCCGCGGGTTTGACGGCAGTCGGGTTGGGGTTGCTGCCCGACTTGGGGCAATGCGAGGCGGGGGGTTTAACGGATGGAAACCGGGAAATCCGGATATTCAATGAAGAGGAGTCGACCGGTTTCTTGCAAGCCAAGATCGACCTGCCTATTCCAAGGGTCCAAAGTTCCCCAACCTGCGGAGAAGAGATGCGCGCGCACACACACACTCAAGCACACACCTTTGACTGATGGGTCCAACCAAGGTTCGACGCGGTCTGGACTTGCAGTAGGCTGCTCTCCATCTGGCGTCACTAGTTTCCTCCCCCCAAGGCGGGAGATCGGCGCAGATGGCAGTGGTCGTCAAGTTGAGGCCAGCCAGTCAAGCACCCGTACACCGCCTGTTCGAGCAGCCCAGCGCAGGCCGATTGGGCACGAATTTCTTGACGATCAGCCGCCCACCCCCCTCTCCTCCATTTTCTGCCCCGGACTGCCTTCCTCCAATCCGTTGGCCCGCCTGGGGAGCCTCGAACCCGCCGCGCGCATGTCTCTCGCGTGGCGACTACCTTTGGGTCGCCCAATACGTGGCTAGCCCGCGCAGTCTAACCTGATCACCCGCATGAGGCTTACAAGTCTATGCTCAGGGAAACCATGTCGACGTGTCGCACGTTGCTATCAAACAAGCGTAGGGCAGAAAGATCGACGGTGAGGCGCCGCCGCCGAGGCCAGCATCTTCAGCGACCGAATTCGACCCAAGTTTTGCGTCGAACCTCGGGTCCAATGGAACCGGACCTGGGGAAACAAAGATTGGGTGTCGTTATTGGGGAACCCGCCTCACCCCCCTCCATGCAGCCAGCACCTGCGCGCATCTGCAGCTCTCGACTCGACGTGCAGCGCTCGGCCGATGACTTTTCGTGTACTTTGATATTGCTCATGCATCATTTCGTCTCTTTAATTGATTGCAGTAAAGTTTACAAGTACGGGCGTACATACATACACAATTGCCGAGGTGGTCCCCCACCTGGCAGAAAAGAAGAGAAATAAGAAACGGAGCAAACAAGAAGCCAAAATCGCGAAAGAAACAGAACCACACCAAGGCGAAAACCAGAAAGAAGCAAGAACCCCTCCCCCCTCCCCTCCCCACCCAATGTGGTTTGCGCTACAATGACGCAAAGCTCGTGAGAGCATCCCGGCCTGATCTACAACAAGCTCGTAGGTATACATGATTTCTACAACAGGAAGAGACATACACACGTACGTACATACACACACGCCCCTCCTCTTCCATACACGTACGTACTCTCCCGGCCTCTCGCTCGCTCAACGTCCTTTTTCCTTGTTTTTGTCCTCATCCCTTCGTTTGCGAGTTTCCGGCCTCACTTTTTCGCGCTTTTGGTTGGCCATCCCACCCCATTTCGTCGTTCGTCATTCCTCGGAAAAAAAAAGTGTGTTCCCGGTACGCCCATCTATGACCGTCCCGTAAATCCCTTTCCCCCCCCAAAACCTCCCTTCCCATCCACCCACCCCTTACTGCACACGCCCCTGAAAAGAAGCCCAAACCTGCCACCCAGCCTCTCTCTCTTTCTGGTCTCTTCTCTAGCCCCCATACCATGCTTGGGAGACGACGACCTATTTGTTGACACCGCTAGGGATATATGCCAGGCGTCTCTCTAGAAGGCAAGGGGAGAAGTATCATGAAGGAAAGAAAGGAAGAAAGAAAGAAAGGAATAGCAAAATAAAGAAGAAAACCACGAATGGGTACCCCATCGAGGATGCTGACATAGATACCTGATACCTGCCCAACCACCTGTTGGAATGCGAAAAATGATGAGAGCAGTTATCCTCCCTGATGAACTCCAAGTCCGCGTGACATCGTGTTTGGTATCCGTCTCTCGTAACAAGACGTCCCGAATGCCGAGAATGTACATTTGGCAAGGGGATGGTGGGGAGAAGGAAAAATGAGGCCGTCCTGGGTGTGCGGGAGAAATAACAAGTCCGCAAAGAAGCCGCCCACCCAAGCGCACCTCCCGAATACGTCTACAGGCCTTTCCACATGGCCCAATATGTAGTCGTTTCTTGGGGTTGGTCTCGAGGCTGAGCAGCCGGCCGATCCCTTGCTCGAATCTTCCTTATCTGCTCCCTTGATGGGAGCCGGATCCTGCTTGGGCTCCGCCGCCGTTGCCGCTGGATTCTTCGTTTGCCTCGTATTGATCGAGGCAAGCCTCAAGAACTAGGGGGATCGTCAGCGTTCCATGGTGGCCTCCATGATAGCTTCCAGAGGGGCTGCGCAAGACTTACTCTCGATGATCTGCTGCTCCCAAACCCCGTATTGGTAATCGACAAGGCCATGGCGTTCGATGCCGTCGCAAAGCCGGACCAGCTCTTTGCCCATCTTTTCCAAGCCTTCCTTGGTGACAAGGGTCTGCGATCGTTGCAACTGCCTTCCAGGCTCCATCATGTCCTTCTGCATCTGGAAAAGCGCGAGCCATGCGTGGTTGAAGTCGTTCCAGAGCTTGATTCGGTCTCCGTGTAGGTTTTGATCGTCAAGGTTGAGGCCTGCAGAATCATGGTGTTAGTAACGTCGCCCATAAGGACCAAGACAGGGCCGTGGCGCGCGTGGTTTCCGATGCTTACCGAGATCGACGACTTGCGTTAAAAGCCAGTTCGACACATCCAGGAGCGACTGGCTAGCGCTCTCGAGCACGCCGTTGCGGACGTTCTGGAAGACACCCCGCAGTGCTGACTGGTATTCCATCCATTTCTCCTCCAAGCCACCCGTGGCGGCGTAATCCTGCTCTTCCATTGATACATCGGCACTCGCTGTCTGCTGCGGCATCCCGCCCACATTGGAGATGTTGGTCTGGTAGTTTGCCATTTGCGGCTGTTGATATGCGGTCGCCGTGGCGCTCGCGGGTTGCGCATGGGGAATGTTGGATGTTCCTGTGCTACTGCTTGGATCGTTGGAGAAGTACGACGTCGACACGTCTGTTGGCAAGATGGGAGCGGCTGCAGGCTGCCGTTGGAACTGTGCCTGGTTATCGTAAACTGAGCCCGTCGCGCCAGCCAAGTTATCGTAGCCCATGGTCATGGCTGCGTTGTATCCTCCAAAATTCTGCGCGGGACGGCCGTCCTGGCCGTATCCCGAGGGGTAATGCATCGTGTTGGTCGCCATGGGCGCGTTGAAAGAGCCCGCTACCGGTTCCTGATAGTTGTACGTGCTGTAGCTACCCGTGCTTCCCATGCTGCCCCGTGGCTGTGAGGGCGAAGTGTTGAGCGGCGCCGGCCGGTTATACCGCTCCGTCGAACCTGTGGCCATGGTGCGGCGCTGCTGCAAGGGATCTTGAACGTTGTATCTTGGGTTGGAGGTGGGATGCATGGGCGCTTCATTCTGCCTCCGACGGCGGTTGGGATCATCCATCCCACGAGGGGCTTGGTTGCCGGTCGGCTCCGAGGGCAAGCCTGCCGTGTGCGCCGGCGGCAACGGAGCTGGCGATGTGTACAGCAAGGCCAGGTTGGGCCGTTGGACCGGTCACAAGACCGTCCAATTGTCGCGTCTAAGTGCGGCGGAGAACTAAACCGGTGGACTTCGACTTTCTGACCTTCCCTCTGTTCCTACAGTAGCCTGGCACGTCGGAGATACTAATTGGCAGCGAGCCGTACGTTGAAAGCTGGTTGGAAAGGCGCGCGGAGCTCTCTTCTCTCTTCCAAGCTTATGTGCTTCGACCGAGCAAAAAAAAAAAAAGAGGAAAAGTGGCCGGGCGTGTCGCAGCGCAAGAGAAGGGGGGGTCTGAATTCGACCAGGCGGCACCGACGGCGGGTAATGAAGTCGCGTGGTAAGGTGTCGGATCGGTAGTGGTTCGAATTTAAAAGACACCAAAAGAGACAAAAGGTAAGGGAGCGTTGACTTGGGGGTCGGAGAGCCTGACGTTTGTATGTCGATGTAGGGTCTGTCTGATGTCGAGCCGAGCAGAGGGCAGCACGGGATGGGCTGGCAGGCTCCTCGGGCGGCAGGTAATAGAAGTGGCTTTTATGATTTGGCTTGGGAGGGAAGATGGCGGACGTGGTGAAGGATGGGGAGAGCAAGGAAGTTAACTGTTCAGACTTGCTTGTCGCGACAAGCTCGGCGAAGCTAGCGCCGGTCTATTTCATGCCCTGACGCCTGAAGGTTCGGGAAGACAAGACGAAGAATTGGCGACGAGTCGTTGATGTCTTGTGAGTCGTCAGAGAAGTTTAGATTTTAGCAAACAAAAACCCAGCGAATGGGGTGGATATCGCGCTGACTTGTCAAACTGGTGTCAGGTTCGATACCAGGAAGATCCCAGATGCCGCATGCAACACGATGTCCAACATTACAAGCCGGTCCTTGCGCGATCTGCTTGGGCAATGAAGCCGCACCAGGGTGTCAGCGACCACCGAGTCGCCTTGACGCAAGATGCGATTCGTCAGAACAGGAGCAAGCGCCGGCCGGACCGATCTTGTCTTTAGATGAGCAGGATAAGTCGAGTCCCAATGCTCAGGCTTGGCCAGGGAGAGGAGGCTGTGCGGCGTCGGCGTGGTGGGTTGGGACTTGCGTTGAGGCTCGTGGTGTGGATGAATGTAGATGGAGCAGGACCGAGAACCACTTTTGCTTCTCGTAGCTTAGTGCTGCGAGGCTAGACGCGAGTCTATGTAGCCTTGGAGAGGGGCGAGGAAGAACAGGGTAAGCTTGTGGTGATGGGAGACGTTATGGGGTGTGTGTGTGTTCGGGTCGTTGGTGTGGAGGGCGATGTGAGCGGTAGTATTGGGGTTCAGTCTTATAACATGGGAGGGATGCAGATATGGGTCGATGCCGGCAGGATTCAGCACTGAAAGAACGGGTGTGTGTGCGGGAGTGAGGGGACGAAGAGGAAGAGAAGGAAAAGTAATAAAAGGGTAGATGGAGAAAAAAGCAAGAATAACCCCCCCCAAAAAAAAGACTTGGACTAAAATGGGGGGTGACTAGGTACGGATGTGTGAGAAGGTAGGTGTGTGAAAAGGTAGGTGTGTGAGAAGTGAGTGAGCAAGTGTGTGTGTGTGTGTGTGTGTGTGTGAGAGAGAGAGAGAGAGAGAGAGAGAGAGAGAGAGAAAACCGGGAAGTCGAGGTGAGGCGGAAAAAGACAAGCTAGAGTCAAAGGACACACGGACGAGCAGACAAGCAAGCAGTTGCCTTCCACTCCCAAGGGGAACGAGCAGGCCGATTAAGGAAGCCAGGAATTCCAAGTCCAAGAAAGTCTTTACGGATGAGACTAAAAAGAAGACCCGAACCCAGTGGCAGAGACAGTCGAGAGAGGGGAGAGGGTGGAAAAGGCAAAAGTACTACTACCGGACGATGGTAAGTAGCGTGTATGCAGAGCCGAAGAGTAATGAACCCGGCAGACAGCGCCGTGGTCAAGGAAGTATCCGTTCCGTGGAGTAAGGTAGGGCAGATTCAATCCAAGTGCGGCTAGATGGCCCTAAGGGGAAACAAGCTGGACCTCGTAACGCGCCAGAGAGACCCAGATGTAATCTAAAAGTGATTGTACCGTGGGAAAAAGCCAAACCGGCTCGGTGCTTGCCCACGGGTTTGTCTTGTCCCAAGGGATTTCCTCGGGTCCGATGCGCGTGGCAGCCCACGAAGGAATTGTGACCAACACAGTACAAGTGCGGCACCGGCAGAGGCAAGGCAAGATAGCGGCCGCAGCGGACAAGGAGGGATGGAGCTACGAGACGAAGCTGCAGTACTCTTTAGATGGTTGGTTGCTGTTGGCTGTTGGTTGTCGGACAACGACTGGGACCTCGGGATGGACCTGGAGTTGGAGAGATGAAGTTGGAGCTGGTAACCCGGCCGAACGAGGGACGCTATGCAGCGATCTGCAAGGCAATGTCTGAAGATGGGGGTTCCCTGGTATGGCAACCAGCTCTTTGGTAAAAAGAGGCGTAGGTAATAGACGGAATGGACGAGATGCAGGCGATAGATGATTTGATGGGCGTGAACGTCGACGTGGGTGTAAAAGACCGCGTGTGAGTGGGTGACCGAGTGTCTCTCGCAGTGGAGGGTGGGCTTGAGCTGGTGTTGGCGCTGGTGATGGATGGAAGGAGGATGACAAGGGGGGTGAGGCAGGAGGACTCGGGTGAGGTATCCGTATCAAATGTATTTGTTCCTCCAGATATTGATGAGCTAGGAAGGCAAGAGGGAGAAGGTTGACGAGCACAGGGACGAGGGAAGCAGGACTCGAATAGAGCAACAAGTCAGTCAAGTGGCCGTAGCGCCCAAAGCCACTTTACTAGAGACCCGAGTAAGGGAATGTGTTTGGATCGGGCCTTGTGTGTAGGGGACAGAGAAAGAAAGAGAGAGAGAGGGACAGACCGATCGGAGGGTAAAAAGAATCAGAGGCTTATGCAGCAGAGCCAAAGCCAAGTGGCACACGCCCCATAACCGGGGCTAGTTGCGAGCACAGAGTCAGGCCTTGTCAGGTGCCCTACGCTGGGTTCGCCTCAGAGAGTCAGGAATGTAGAGGCGCAGAAAGCTTGAGGCATGGCATGGTATGAAATGGGTGGTATGGGTTATTGGTGCCTTGGGTAAAGGCAGATGTGAAGAGACGGCAGGGCGTGTGAATGGGGAGGAGGCAGTCGGCGTATCACGCACGTGAACAAACGTCGACAAACCTTGCGAAAGAAAAAGACACTCGACGACACCTCGTTCTTGCTATTCACTGTATTGACGAAATACAAGGATATTTCCGCAGAGAAAGGAGGCATGGGACAGGTACTACGAGAATGCCTCAACGGGCAGACAGACAAGAGACGAGATGGGATGGATGAGATGGAAAGTCAAGCACACGTCGACTAGCCAGAAAAAGATTGCAACGGGGGTGGGTGTGCCGAGTCTTGTTGGTCCCCTTCCTGTCTTCCCACCTTCGGTTTCTCTCCTCTGTTTCGCGGCAGTGAAGGGTTGGCTTGGGGCACGCCCGTGGTTGTTCCGCCCACACCACAGGACAGAAAGCTACTTACCTCACTTCACCTCATAGCAGGCAGCTTCTCTCCATCCATCTGCCCTGGGTCTGGTGTCCCTCGTCCGGAGCTGGCTCCTGCTTGGCATTATCGGGCTTACCAGGTTCGGTCTCAAGAGTCGAGAGTCTGACTTGACTTGACGTTACTGTCTTCTTTCTCTTCTCTCCTCGTTCTGCTCTAAGATGGTGCACCGCCGCCCGATATCTCGAGAGCGGGAAAAAAAAAAAGAGAGTCAAAGTGTCCTTCCACACTGTTACCAGTTTCGTTTCGATTTTGTGCTTGCATTCGGGCCCGAGTAGTCGCAGTCCCCAGCAAGCTCAGGTCCGTATTCTCCCCTTCCAATCTCCCCATGTGTGATTTGAGTTCCTCCGATCGGGGCTGCAGACAGACATTTGAACTGCGGATGGCAAGCTGGGCTGAAGAGATTCTGGGTGAATGGATGAATTGGGAAGGGATAGAAACGGGGACCCCGTCCTACTCTGCAGCAGCAGCAGCAGCAGCAGCACTCTCCGCTCCCCTCGGTGCGATGCTAATGACGAGCCCCCCCTGAACGATGAGCTGGAGGGATCGTAAAAGTTAAAAAAAGTCTGTGAGCACCCAGATGGCTGGATTTGGGGGCTTTGTTTATTACCGCTCTGAGACAAGCCCGGTAACCCTGGTCCGCATTCCTCCACCTCCCCTGGCACACCGGCCGGGGACCACAGGCACTAGCAAATCATCAATTCTCATTATTGCTTGCCTTCTTTTTGTTCTGTTTATTCATTTTATCCTGCACAGTAATATCAGTCGAGAGGCCCTGTCAAGCTGTCTTCCGGCGCTGTCGACGCACCGTGTCTTGGCTTCAATGGGTTCGTAGTCGCACTGTTGGCCTAGAGCTCCAGGCCCCAGAGAAAGGCCCTCCTCAATGGCGAGACGAGGCGATGCACTGCCGGTGCCGAAATGACGTACATACATCACGGCCGACACCCACTCTAGTCCAAGGCGGAGCAGCAGATTGATCGTCAGCTCCGGGGCGGAGGAGAGCGTAAATAAAAAAAGAAGAAAAAAAGAGGAGAGCTTACGGGGTGAGCATGACAAAGCCATCGGCTCTTACACATTTCAGATGTTCGAAACAGCGATGAACCATGCCGTACGTATCTCCCGTCGTACGTAGCTTGCGGTCTCGCTGAGCATAGACACCGAACTTGTGCCAACTCGTTATGCAGGTGAGGTGGCCGTTAGCCGAAAGTCGGGACCCAAACGTGACTCGATACTTGAATCGTGCACCGATCTTATCCCCACTCCTCGGCTCATCATACCCCAACGTCG